TGATTCCAGCCCATTTATAAACCCTACTCACGAGTCTGATTTATCACAGAGTCAATCTTCCTCAGACGATAACGATGATCGGAAAACAAAGCTCTTAAAGTCGTCACCTTTAAATGCAGAGGAAGTAATCGGACCATCGACGCCACCGGAGATTGCTCCGCCTCGTCGGAGCTTCCCGGAAGATATCCAGACGTATTTCGGGTGTCAAAACTCCGGCAAGTTAACGACGGAGGAAGATGACGTTATCTTCGGTGATTTAGATTCTTTCCTTACGCCTGATTTCTACAGCGAGTTAAATGATTGCTAAAGTGTTCTTCTGATAAGTAAGAAAAAAAGGGATTTGATAAGTTTTGTTTTTAGTTTTTTTTTTTTTTTTTTTTTTTTGGAATCTCGGTTGTGAAAATCAGCATTGACACATATCGGTTATTCTTTCTTGTGACAATCTTATTATAATAAAGTTTGAATCTTTTTAACAGTTGTCCAGTTTCAGTTTCCTCTCTGGGTGAATTTTGATTTGAGAGGCACTGAGGTAATTTGTGAAAACTCAGATAGATTATGTAGAGAAGTAAGGAATACAGATTATGATCGTTGGAGCGATGTTCAGAGATTGAACTCATCCATTTTATAATGATCAAACAGTACAACAAAGCTTGGAATCAATGGAAGCCAAGCAAATGCAGAACGCTTGGTAGCCTGAGAATGGATACCTGTAGACAGATAAAGCAAAAGTTTTTAGATGATAAAACAAATATTTGATCTCTATAAAGCCTTTAATCCTAAGCTTATAAGTATGTTTATGTTTTGCTCATTCTGGTTTGAGCAAGTAGTACCTGAAATCGATTACATATCTTGCTTTGTCCACTCTTCCCATTTGAAGAATCGTCTGCCTCGGATTCTCCTATTTTATACCAAATTACACAATGTTTAGGATTCTTGAGATTGGATTTTGATTAAAGCTTAAAAGTTGTGGAACTGCACCGTGAGTGTTAGCTGAAAGTTTTTCACCGAGCTCTGTATTCTCAGCCCTGTTCTTCCTCTGTCTCTGTAGTCTAACTCATGCTGCTTGGTGATCTAAAGAAAGGGGGAGACAGAATGAATTTCTTAGTTCAGAAAACCAATCATTCAAATACCAATGATCCCCGGTGAGACTTACTTTGTTGTAATGTGGTATCCTTGAGCATAGCTTCTGAACTTTTTCCTTATTCTCAAGCCAATCAAGCGGTAGTTTACTAGCTTGCTGAACCTATAAAGCGATACATGCATACGTGTATCAACGGTTTTATGTTTTCGGAATGCGAGATTGATGGAGAGAAGTTTTAGATTAGGCATTTACCTGCTTATTGTTGTTCTTCTGCATTGGCTGCTGCTTTGGTAGCAAAGCTCTAATTCTTCTGTAGCTCCCTGTCCAAGTGGTTATGGTGGGTGTGAATCTGCAGAAGCCAACACAAGGATAACTGGATAAGCAAACCCAAAGCTAAGGGATAGTCAAATTCATCAAAAGACACAGCATTCAAAATCCTCAAAGCTTACATTACAACCGAAAGAAGCGGCTTCACCATTTTACCTACAGAACCAACTCGAACTCCCTGCAATGGAATCAAAAGACCAGAAACATTCAGACTGAATATCCCACCTATAAGCAGAAACAATGCTGATACATTGAGGTTGAAATTCCAACCTTATCCCATATGTAGTACTTGGAACCCAAGAGATTAGCCGTCATAGAACCGACATAACTTTCATCCGAACTGCACAATAGTCCCTTAACATTCTGTGCCACCCTAAATATGGATTTCCCATTACGTCGCCTATGGAAAGCAACAGCTAGCTTTCGGTCTTTACGCCCCCGACCTTCCTGAGATATCAGAAACATTGATATCACTACATCTCAATTCTCAAACAACATTACTATAGATCAAATGTCAGTATACTTACATGTGTATAAAGTGAATATAGAGATCCGCCGCTTAAGCCTTCAGGTGATTGTTCTTTCACAATCAGACAAGTGCATCTACCCACATCCAAAGGTAGTGTCTTGCACAACAAAGCCCTGTTTAACAAGTGTATACATAGTTTCAGACATGTTTAGGACATTGAAAGCATAAGAATCTTGGTAATTGCGAGTGCTTTTACCTGTTGGGCAAAGTAGACCAAGAGGAAGCAGGAGCAGCTTCGGAATCCGAAAACTCCCACACTTTCAACGAACTCGAATGCTCTGAATCAACACTAGTCCAAGTTTTCATTCCGAAACTACCCTTATCAACCTCACTGTTCTTCTGCATACACGCTTGCAGGGATGTCTGCTTCAGAGCCGTTCGACCACCCGTTGAGAAAGACTTGAAATTTGTAACTTCCGTGGGAAAGCCAGAGTTACCCTTCATCGATTGAGACTTCAAAGCTCGATCTTGTTTCCGAGTTTCCACAGAGGTAGATACTTTTTCCGGCGACACATTCTCCTTATCCTCTACCTTTTTTGTGGAGAAAGACCTTGAGACTGTGTCCACATTTTCCTTATTTTCCTCCAACAAATCATTCTCTTTTCTGGAACCAGCCATGTTTTTTTTTTCCCTTTCTGGGTTGCTTTCAAGTTTAGAACTTTCTGGGAGCTAAGTTTATATTCTTTATAGAATTTGAAGACATAAATCTAGAAACAGGTGTTTGACAATGGTACTGGGTTAAAAGAAACGTTTTTATAAAGTCCCACAATGTTTCCATTTGAATTTGAAATAGCCATTGGGGATTGTGCGAGCACAGAACCAAAGACAGGTGGACTTTTCTTTTCTTGTCTCAACACAAAGAGGTTTTTAGATGTCTGCGTTGATTTTGCCCTTTTTTTCTATTTCCTACGGACCCAACGGGATTTTGATTAATTTTTTTGTCGTTTTCCTTTGTCGGGAAACTGAAGGTTGATGATTGGATTAGCGGGAACTGTGTTTCAAACACTTACAGTATCAACAACCTGCCGTTTTGTTTTGAACGTCCTGCCGTTTTATCTTCGTTAGTCGATCCAAAATTGATAAGCCAGAGCCTCAAACCATCGAGTGGCTATTAAACCATCACTGTTCAAATTAGTCCAAACCATGAGAGGCCACAACATCATCGTCGAAGCCCATTATCATCACTATGGCTAAAGCCAGCAGCACTCTGTTTGCTGTCTCCTGCTCAGCTTCAGCTCGTTTCTCTTTCCTCCGACACTCTGAATCTCTTAAACCCTCAGTTTCAAGAGCGAGATTCGCCGCCCCAATGGCTATGGCCGCCGCGTCAGCTGCCACCGCTAAAAAACTAGCACCTGCCGTGATTGTGGGTGGCGGAAGAGTCGGAAGGGCGTTACAGGAAATGGGAAATGGCGAGGATTTGTTGGTGAAGAGAGGAGAAGCAGTTCCGGTTGATTTTGAAGGACCCATTTTGGTTTGTACTAGAAATGATGATCTCGATGCTGTTCTTGAAGCTACTCCTCAGTCTAGATGGAAAGGTAGAAACTTTCATTGGCCCTAAGAATTATTAGTGAACCGAATTGTTAGATGTTTTAGGGGGTTTGATCATTTCATTGGCCCAGTTGCACATTTCATCCGGATTTGGAACGATCAAGTGATCAGATTATCAAAATTTGATTGGATGTGTAGAAAACATGATAATGTTACTTCATTTTATGACTTGGTGTACTAAAAAAGTTGTGTGTAATTTAATCAGATTTGGTCTTCTTCCAAAATGGAATGATGGAGCCGTGGTTTGAGAGCAAAGGTTTGGGTGATACAGACCAAGTCTTGGCCTATTTTGCTGTGTCAAAGCTCGGCGAGCCTCCCGTGGATGGAAAGACTGACACTAACCCAGAAGGTCTAACTGCTGCTTATGGAAAATGGGCTTCAGAGATAGCCGCAAGATTGCAATCTGGTGGCCTCTCTTGCAAGGTTACAAGAAGCAAATCTTTGGCTCTATATTGATAAAGCAGAAACTGCATGAATAAACTAAATGTATTCCTTTTTTGGGTGTTTCTGTGGTTAGGTACTTGACAAAGAAGCTTTTCAGAAGCAAATGTTGGAGAAACTCATTTGGATTTGTGCATTTATGCTTGTTGGAGCTCGTCATCCAGGTGCAAGTGTTGGCACGGTGGAGAAAGAATACAGAGATGAAGTACAGAAATTCCATTCATTCCTTGTTTTGTTTTAGCATACAAAATCGTTGTTTAGTTCTAACTACTTATACATTCAGGTGTCCATACTCATCCAAGAACTCGCAGCAGCTGCTGCTGCGGAAAAAGGACTAACCTTTGAAGAGAACATGGTGGAGAGACTATGTGCTTATTCACGAGCTGTTTCTCATTTCCCGACTGCTGTTAAAGAAGTACGTATATTAGTTTACCATCTTTGACCTCTCACTTTCAATGCATGTGCAACAGTATCTGTTTCACATCCAGTTTTCTGATTATTGCAGTTTAAATGGAGGAATGGTTGGTTTTATTCACTATCAGAGAAGGCGATTGCGGAAGGGAAACCGGATCCGTGTCCCCTCCATACCGAATGGCTGAAAGAGCTTAAAGTGATATAGAGCCAGTGTGTGTATTGTGAGTATCTGGATTAAGTAGCATTCTTACACAGTTTAAGTAGATGATCTGAAACTAGTATGAACTATGTACACGCATGAGAAGTGAAAAAAAAAAGATTTACTTTTCTAATAAAGATAATCAGTTCACGTTTTGTAAAAAGTCCAGACTTATATCTGTGTAAACTTGTGCATTTTATAGAATCAAAACTTTTCTGCTTCTAGACTCCCATCAATAGGGAAGACTGGAATCTTCAATAATAAACAAATTAAGACAGCGACCTATGTAGACTCTTTGGAATTATCAATAACTTACAAATTAAGAGGCAGGATCGTCCACGCTTGTTTGAATTTTCAGCCGTTGCAGGCAATGAGGTCCAAGTAGGCAACTGTGGTTTCTTCGGTTAGTTACTATATAACACATGATTTTATATTAGCTTTAGCATCTCATAACATAACTCAGTGTTCTACCAAGAAAGCATAATGAGCAGAGAGAGCTTTTCCATATGTGCCCTGCTCTCTCTTCTGGTTCTGCTGATCCATTGTTCGATTGCAGCAACTACTCAAGATCTCACGGTCTTGAGTTCTTGTCAAAGCCATTGCGGGTAAATAGCGATTCCATATCCCTTTGGAATTGGTAAAGATTGCTATCTCGACAACAACGAGTGGTATGAAGTTATCTGTAACCGAACCTCAGGAAACCCTGTGCCAATTCTTAATAGTATCAACAGAGAACTGGTGAATATCTCTCTGCCGGACGACTCAAGCGATTCCTTTGGGCTAATCCGAATCAAGAATCCGGTAACTTCATCTGGCTGTTCCAATATGGAAGAACTCAGCTTGGTTTTGAATGTGACCAGAAGCCCATTCTTCCTCACCGGCCATAATACTCTAGTAGCAGTTGGTTGTAACAACAAGGCCTCGATGACGGATGTTAAGCAGCAGATAGGAGGATGCGAGTCTACCTGCGACCTTTGGTTTGGTCAGAGAGGGCAGAACACAAGCTGCAACGGCTACAGATGTTGCCAAGCGAAGATACCCTCTGACCGTCTGCAACAGATTGGCATCAAGATAGAGAGCCTTGATGGTAACACAACGAAATCAGCTGGATGCAGATGAGGCATATTCTCCTTTAAATATAACCGAACCAGAGTTGTTTTACGATAAGGGATATGCAACAGTGGAGTTAGGTTGGTTCATAGATAGGTTACACAATATGTCCGTTGATACTGGGGTTTGCTATTCAATTACCGAGGGTACACACGGTTGGAGTTACAGTAACTATGAAGCTTGCATTTGTAGATATGGTAAGTACTTAGAGCGAAGCTATAGAAGCTGCAGGTGTAACAGTGGTTACAGAGGGAATCCATATCTCCCGAGTGGATGTACAGGTAAATTAACATTTTCTGGTGCTTTTGCGTTAGTTTCTGTAGGCTCCATGAATCATTGATGCATTATTCGTCTATGTAGATATTGATGAGTGTGAAGAAGCCAAAGCTGAAGGGCGAAACCATTGTGGGAAAGGGTATGATTGTGAGAATATACCAGGAAACTTTAGTTGTCAATCCAACAAAAACAAAAGACTAGCCATCATTCTTGGTAAGCTACCGATCATCGTGGCTATGCGATATGTTAACATGTATAGATAACCCAATAAAACGGATTTGGCTTTTAATGTGTTTCTTTTGTGATGTGTAAGTAGTAGTCTAGGCTTTGGCTTGTTGTTTTTTGCCATTGGAGCATGGTTGTTGTATAAGTTTATCAGAAAGCAAAGGGAGATAAAGCGGAAGAAGTTCTTTAAGCGAAATGGAGGACTATTGCTGCAACAACAGTTGGTTTTGAATGAAGGCAACATTGAGAATACAAGAGTATTCAGCTCGAAAGAATTGGAGAAAGCCACAGAAAACAAGAGTATTGCAACATAGAAGATCCTTGGAACGTTTTTACTGATTCTTCCTCCAACATCACCACCAGAGACCACTATTATTGGAACCGTATCATTTAAAATATTGGTGTTATTCGATTTGTTTAGTTGTATGTGTGTTGTTTTATCCGGTTTGGAGAAGGTTATATTGAATAACAAGAACCACAAACATTTATCAACGAAAGTAATCCCTCTTGACTAGAACGTTTATGAGATTGGACTATGACTAGTCTTATTGCATTTGTAGTACTAGTTGTTGCAGCAGCTCAGATTCATTAGGACCCGCCAATCATATTTCCCAAATACCATGAAGTTTAGGGAGACGTGATTTTTGAATCTTGATTAAAAATTAAAAAGTGACTTAAAAAATATCGCCCACCGTGGGGCTCGAACCCACGACCACAAGGTTAAGAGCCTTGCGCTCTACCAACTGAGCTAGACGGGCTTTGTGTTAAGTGTAACTACTAATGATTACTTGATCTATAAATATAGTCTGCTAACAAAGTAACCAAGTCAAATTTTAAAACATCTCAAGTCAATGGTCTGCACTCTGCAGAAACTAAATAACTGATATGAAACGATCCATAGGGAGTTGACTTTTGATGATTAAAGGTTCACGCGTCTATCCAAATTTCTTTGAACGTGGACTTTTGTCACATACGAGATAAGAGAAGATCGATCAGATTAAAAAAAATGCAGAAGTATGAAGAAGACAAAGACTTACAACTTCCTATGTATTATTGAACTCTCTGTCCTAACTCTGCAGCTTATCAATGGCTCATCATCAGCAGCAACACCTCCACCTCCAGATGGTAACTCTTCAACTTCTTGTAAGGAGGAGTCTCAATTCCGTTCCCGTTCGGAATCGGCAGGGATTGTTATCTCAATGGCTGGTACGAGGTTGTCTGCAACACTACCACTTCTGGGTCGTCTGGCACAACTGTTCCGTTCCTCTCACGGATCAATAGTGAAGTGGTGAACATCTCTCTTCCAGATGGTAATAAACCATACGGAGTGGTTCATATCAAAGGTCCACTGACATCGTTGGGTTGCTCTAGTAGTAGTACTAGTCAAGTATCCGAAATGTCATTGCCGAATTTGAACGTCACAGGCAGGGGAAGCCCATATTTCTTCACTGATGAGAACCGCCTCGTGGTGGTTGGTTGCGGTACAAAGGCTTTGATGACGGATATTGAATCAGAGATCTTGGGTTGTGAATCGAGCTGTGAAGCTAGCAAGAGTAGTGAAGAGGTAACAAACTCGATATGTGACGGTTACAAATGCTGCCAGGCGAGGATACCGTTGGAGCGTCCTCAGGTTATTGGTATCAGTATAGAAAAAACAGATGGCACAAGAGGGAAAGGGTGCAGTGTTGCGTTCTTGACTAACAAGAGGTATACGCCGATTAATGTTACCGAGCCAGAACGATTCCATGCTGGTGGCTACGCGGTGGTAGAGCTAGGTTGCTACTTTGATACTTCGGATTCTCGCTTTAGGAACCCCTTAGGTTGTAGAAACATGACCCGGTACAGTTCTTACAGCTCCTTTGATAGTTGTAGCTGCGAGTATGATTACTTTTCTGGGATAAGTTATAGGATTTGCTATTGCAACTGTGGCTACACAGGGAACCCATACCTTCGACATGGCTGCATAGGTAAGTGATTGTTTTCTTCTTCTTTCGTTGCTGCTTTTCATCGATCAAACCATAAATAAATAACTATGGTTCAAAAATGTGTAGACATAGACGAATGCGAAGGACACCACAATTGTGGAGAAGGGACTTGTGTGAACATGCCTGGATCATATAGCTGCGAGCCCAAGATAACGAAGCCGGAAAAAGCCTCTGTGATTCAAGGTGAGTTAAAGTACCATCTTGCATCTACGAGACCCTGAGACAGAGAACAGGAAAGTATTTTACTTGCTGGTATTTTTCTTCGTTGGTGTAGGCGTTCTTATAGGTCTAGGAGTGCTGTTTTTCATTCTCGGAATCTTGCGGGTGTACAAATTCAGTAAGAAGCGAAGGAGGATCATCCGCAGCAAGAACTTCTTCAAACGTAATGGTGGCTTGCTGTTGAAACAACAACTAACTACTTCAAAGCACGGAAAGGTTGAGATGTCAAGGATATTTAGCTCAAAAGAGTTGAAGAAAGCTACTGATAACTTCAGCATGAACAGGGTGCTTGGGCAAGGCGGTCAAGGAACAGTGTATAAGGGAATGCTGGTGGATGGGAGAATAGTTGCGGTTAAAAGATCGAAAGTTGTGGGTGAAGACAAGATGGAAGAGTTCATTAACGAAGTCGTACTTCTTTCACAGATTAACCATAGGAACATTGTGAAACTCATGGGATGTTGTCTAGAGACTGAAGTTCCAATCTTGGTTTACGAGTATATTCCCAATGAAGATCTGTTCAAGCGTCTTCATGAAAAATCCGAATCCAATGATTACACGATGACTTGGGAAGTGCGTCTTCGTATAGCCATAGAGATCGCGGGAGCTCTTTCATACATGCACTCAGCTGCATCTTTTCCAATATACCATAGAGATATCAAGACTACCAATATACTATTAGATGAAAAATATCGAGCCAGAGTATCTGATTTTGGGACTTCAAGATCCATAACCATTGATCAAACTCATCTAACAACATTGGTTGCAGGCACTTTTGGGTACATGGATCCGGAGTACTTTTTATCAAGCCAATATACTGACAAGAGCGATGTTTACAGTTTTGGAATTGTCTTGGTGGAGCTCATAACCGGAGAAAAACCAGTGTCCCGAATCCGGTGTGAAGAAGGAAGAGGATTGGCAACTGATTTCCTTGAGGCCATGAAAGAAAACAGAGTGGTTGACATCATTGATGATCGAATTAAAGAAGAAAACAAGCTGTACCAAGTGATGGCAGTCGCAAAACTTGCTCGAAAATGTCTTAGCCGGAAAGGGAGGAAGCGGCCAAACATGAGAGAGGTTTCATTAGAGCTGGAGAGGATCGTTCTTCATCACCTGAGAGGTCCATGTTAAAAATGATGATGGAGAGGAACAAACCATGGAAATCAACAGAGAAAGATTTTGAGTGTGTGTACATGAGTTACCCACACTTTATGTTAAATGTATCCCTAAAATTAGACGAACATATTGACAAAGAACTCAATAAGATCACATCGACAGCAATTATGGCCACAAAGTATATCAGAATTTCAAAGTTTATATGCACTTCTAAAATGATAAGTGGATTTGGTGGTGGCACGACTTGATTTGCATGTATATTGATGACTGAAAAGAAAACAATAAAAAGAGTGTTGGTTAATTGAACTTACTTGTCTAGGTACAATTACAATGTGGTCAGCAGATTTGTCACAAAATGTTTGGCTTCTCCCATCTTCAGTGTCTCGGCCTGACCTGTTTTTGGAGTATTGATGAGTTACAAGAGCATCTAAAGTGGTTTGAAATATCTATCATCTCCGACTTGGCAAAAGGATTGTTTAGCAGAGTACTCTGTTCTCAGTTCTCACAAAATATGAAATCAAACTAGATCATTTAAATCTGAATCACTCTGTTCTCACTTCTCACAAAAGCAGAGCACTCTGTTCTCACTTCTCACAAAAGAGCCTTTCAGTGGTGAGGTTGCCCTTCTTGTTTTTTTTTTCTTCCAAATTCTGGTGTTCGACTTAGCTGGAGTAGCGTAAACAACACCAGAGGTCTAGTTTCTCCAATTTTCATTCATTATTATAAAATACAAGAAGCCCTGAGGCGTAGAGTTAATTATTAATAAGAGTTTAATGCTTTGTAACATCCTTCACGCTTCTTTCTAAAGTTCTATTGACCTTTTCATCAGATCAGGCATGTACTTAACTTAATTTTCTCCTATATGAGCAGATTGATCAGATCAAGAGAAAAAAAATAAGAATAAACAGAATTATGAAGACAAAGTTTTACCGCTTCCTGTGTATTGTTGTGTATGTCCTATCTTTGCTCATGAATGGCTCATCAGCAGCAACACCTCCAACAAGTAATACTTCAACTTCTTGTAACAGAACCTGTGGAGGAATCTCGATCCCCTTCCCGTTCGGAATCGGTGGGAAGGATTGCTATCTCAACAACTGGTACGAGGTTGTATGTAACACCACCACTTCCGGGTCTTCCAGCACAACTGTTCCACTCCTGTCTAGAATCAATAAGGAAGTGGTGAACATCTATCTTCCAGATGGTTATCCTGAACCATACGGAGTGGTTCACATCAAAGGTCCTGTGACTTCGTTGGGTTGTTCTAGTAATACTAGTCAAGTACCACAAAAGTCGCTCTCGGGTTTGAATGTCACAGGCAAGGGTAGCCCATATTTCCTCACTGACGAGAACCGCCTCGTGGCGGTTGGCTGTGGTACCAAGGCTTTGATGACGGATATTGAATCAGAGATCTTGGGTTGTGAGTCGAGTTGTGAAGACAGCACGAGTAGTAAAGAAGTAACAAACTCGATTTGTAACGGTTACAAATGCTGCCAGGCAAGAATACCGACCGAGCGTCCGCAAGCAATGGGTGTCAACATAGAGATCAATAATGGTACAGGAGGAGGAGGGTGCAAAGTTGCTTTTTTGACGAACACGAGGTATTTACCGTCAAATGTTACAGAGCCAGAAAAGTTCCATGCCGATGGCTACGCGGTGGTAGAGCTAGGATGGTACTTTGATACTTCAGATTCTCGCTTTAGGAACCCCTTGGGTTGCATAAATCTGACCCGTTCTAATGGGTCTTACTTTGCGGACGACAACTGCCTTTGCCAGTACGGGTACTTTTCCGATATCAATTATAGGAACTGCTATTGCGGCAATGGCTTCACAGGAAACCCATACATACGAGGCGGATGCATAGGTAAGTGCATGTTTTTCTTCTGTAATCGTGACCATCAATCAGAAACTTAATAATTATGATTCAAATTTGTAGACATTGATGAATGCAAAGTACCCAACAAGTGCGGAGAAGATACTTGTGAGAACATTGTTGGAATGTACAAATGTGTGCCAAAGATAACCAAGCCAGCCAAACCCGCTGTTCTTCGAGGTTAGTCAAAATAACACTTGGTGTCTACTAGAAAACAAGCTAGAACAGAGAATTTAGTGTGCCTTATGTTTCCTTTATTGCTGCAGGGGTCCTTATAGGTTTGTTGGGACTTCTGTTTCTTGTTATTGGGATTTTCGGGTTATTCAAAGTTATTAGAAAGCGACGGAGGATCATCCGTAGTATGAAGTTCTTCAAACGTAATGGAGGCTTGTTGTTGAAACAACAGTTAACAACAAAAGACGGTAGTGTCGAGATGTCAAAAATATTCAGCTCGAGAGAGTTGGAGAAAGCCACTGATAACTATAGCATTGATAGAGTGCTTGGGCAAGGTGGTCAAGGCACTGTGTACAAGGGAATGCTAGTAGATGGGAGTATTGTTGCTGTTAAAAGATCGAAAGTTGTGGATGAAGACAAAATGGAAGAGTTTATCAATGAGGTCGTCCTTCTCTCACAGATTAACCATAGGAACATTGTGAAACTCTTGGGATGCTGCTTGGAGACAGAAGTACCAATCTTGGTGTATGAATATATTCCCAATGGAGATCTGTTCAAGCGGCTTCATGATGAATATGATGATTACAAGATGACTTGGGAAGTGCGACTTGGCATAGCCATAGAGATCGCAGGAGCTCTTACATACATGCACTCAGCTGCATCTTTTCCAATATTCCACAGAGATATCAAGACTACCAATATACTATTGGATGAGAAATACCGAGCAAAGATGTCTGATTTCGGAACTTCAAGATCGGTAACCACTGATCAAACTCACTTGACAACATTAGTTGCGGGAACTTTTGGGTACATGGATCCAGAGTACTTCCTGTCGAGCCAGTACACTCACAAAAGCGATGTATATAGTTTCGGGGTTGTGTTGGTGGAGCTCATAACAGGAGAAAAACCAATGTCCCGTGTCCGGTCTGAAGAAGGCATAGGTTTGGCAACTTATTTCCTCGAAGCAATGAAAGAGAACAGAGCTGTTGACATAATTGATATTCGGATCAGGGAAGAAAGCAAGCAAGTAATGGCGGTAGCAAAACTCGCCCGAAAATGTCTTAATCGAAAAGGGAATAAGCGGCCAAACATGAGAGAGATTTCAATGGAGCTAGAGAGGATCCGTTCATCACCCAAAGATTTAGATGTCCATCCGGAAGAAGAAGAAGAAGAAGAGGATCAACTTATGGAAATCAACAGAATATATGATTCTTGAAACATCTTAAATAAGACTTTGCTGGAACAATTGTTATATCTATAAAAACTAAGTGTTCAAAGTGTTGCTAGTTGGAGTTAAAATGCCTCTTATTAAGTGTAAGAACCTGTAAACCCACTCACTATTTTTCCTTGAAAATCTAGGGTTTCCGATGAGGAAGATCTCATCAGAGGAGATTATTCGTTTAATCAAAATGCTAAAAAAGTATTAGCAAACAGAAGGAACAAAGTAAAGATTCGGGATCCAGATTTGTACCGATTTCGGAAGCTTCGTTGGTCTCTTTAGCTGACGACGGCGAGATTCGACGATTGTAGGCCAGGTTACTCTTTTTCTTCCAAAAAGAACCCCAAAGTGTCCACGTCAACTATTAACTAGCCACGTCATATGTTTGGACAGATGTAATTAATGTATTCATTTGTTGACTTTTAAGCTGATATTACAAAACATTACGTAAATGTGTCTGCCAAATGTCTTTGCCGCATTGGTCATTTCCATTACATTAATGATTATGAAATCCATTTGACTTTTAGCTAAGACTATCTTGGTTAACATTGTATTTTTTTTTTTTTGGTCAACATTGTTTTGCATCCCTTTTCACGCATGATCCATCTTATCTCCTCTTTGACATTTTCGTCCAACAATGCAAGTCTTGATTTTTGTTTTTAGACAACATTAGAAGACTCAAAAGACAAGACCGACTTGGCCAGTTGAGAGAACAAGTATGAAGACAGAGACTCAAAACATCCTTTGTATTCCACTGGTGATCTTTGTCCTATCTCTGTTCATCAATGGCGTATCATCAGCAAGAAAACCTCCAGATCTGTGTAACAGAGTCTGCGGAGGAATATCAATTCCTTTCCCGTTCGGTATCGGTGGAAAAGAATGCTATCTAAACCCGTGGTACGAGGTTGTATGTAACAGCACAACCTCTGTTCCATTCCTCTCAAGGATCAACAGAGAATTGGTGAACATCTCTCTTCCAGATTCTACTGAGTACTACTCTAACGGAGTTGTTCACATCAAAGGTCCCGTAACTTCCTCAGGGTGTTCTACCGGAAGATCTCAGCCGCTTACACCGCAGCCTTTAAACGTTGCCGGCCTAGGCAGCCCCTATTTCCTCACGGACAAGAACCTCCTCATGGCGGTTGGTTGCAACGTCAAAGCCGTTATGTCGGATATCAAATCGCAGATCATAGGTTGTGAGTCAAGTTGTGACGAGAAAAACAGTAGCAGCCAACCAGTAAGAAACAAAATCTGCAGTGGTAGTAAATGCTGCCAGACGAGGATACCGGAAGGGCAGCCTCAAGTAATTGGAGTCAATATAGAGATCCCTGAAGGCAAAAACACAACAGAAGGAGGATGCAGAGTTGCGTTTTTGACGAGCAAGAAGTATTCGACTTTTAATATTACAGAGCCAGAAGAGTTTCATAGTGATGGATACGCGGTGGTCGAGCTTGGATGGTACTTTGATACTTCGGATCCTCGTGTTTTAAGCCCCATAGGATGTAAAAATGTGTCAGATGCATCACAAGATGGCTGGTACGGTTCCGAGACAATGTGCGTTTGCTCGTACGGCTACTTCTCTGGATTCAGCTATAGGAGTTGCTATTGTAACTCCATGGGTTATGCTGGGAATCCATTCCTTCCAGGTGGATGTGTTGGTAAGAGATGCGTTTTTCTTTCTGTATCCATTGTTTCAATCAATTCTTCTATCATTAATGATGAATCAAATTTGTAGACATCGATGAATGTAAACTAGAAGAAGGACGCCAAAGGTGTAAAGACCAAAGTTGTGTGAATAAACCCGGTTGGTTTACGTGTGAGCCAAAGAAACCAGGGCAGCTCAAACCAGTGTTTCAAGGTAAAAGTCAAAGAAACTTGAGCGTTGTGTTGAAGATATTATTGATTTGGTCTGTACTGTACATGTTGTTCTTTTGCTGGTGCAGGTGGTCTTATAGGTTCGGCACTGTTGCTTTTCGCCTTTGGAATTTTTGGGTTGTACAGGTTCATTAGGAAGCAGAGGAGGATCACTCAAATGAGAAAGTTCTTCAGGCGTAATGGAGGTATGTTGTTAAAACAACAGTTAGCTAGAAAAGAAGGCAATGTAGAGATGTCAAAGATATTTAGCTCAAATGAGTTGGAGAAAGCTACTGATAACTTTAACAAGAATAGGGTTCTTGGGCAAGGAGGTCAAGGTACTGTTTACAAAGGTATGCTCGTTGATGGTAGAATCGTCGCAGTGAAAAGGTCGAAAGCCATGGATGAAGACAAGGTAGAAGAGTTTATCAATGAAGTTGTTGTTCTCGCGCAGATCAACCACAGAAACATTGTTAAACTCTTGGGATGTTGTCTTGAGACGGAAGTTCCAGTCCTAGTTTATGAGTTTGTCCCGAACGGAGACTTATGCAAGCGTCTTCGAGATGAATCTGATGATTACACAATGACATGGGAAGTGCGCCTTCACATTGCAATAGAGATCGCAGGAGCACTTTCGTACCTACACTCAGCTGCTTCTTTTCCAATATATCACAGAGATATCAAGACTACCAACATACTACTGGATGAGAAATATCAGGCTAAGGTTTCTGATTTCGGAACTTCAAGATCGGTGACCATAGATCAAACTCACTTGACCACTCACGTTGCAGGTACTTTCGGGTACGTGGATCCAGAGTACTTTCAATCAAGCAAGTTTACGGATAAAAGTGATGTATACAGTTTTGGAGTTGTCCTTGTGGAGCTCATTACCGGAGACAAACCATCCTCCCGTGTCCGGTCTGAAGAAAACAGGGGTTTTGCAGCTCATTTTGTTGCAGCCGTGAAAGAGAATAGAGTTCTTGACATAGTTGATGAACGGATCAAAGACGAATGCAACCTGGACCAAGTGATGGCAGTGGCAAAACTCGCTAAACGATGTTTAAACCGAAAAGGGAAGAAGAGGCCAAACATGAGAGAAGTTTCAATTGAGCTGGAGGGGATTCGTTCATCACCTTGTAATTCAGAGATTCATAATGATGATGATGATGATGAGGAAGATCAAGCCATGGAAATCAACATTGACGAGACTTGGGAAGTTGGTATGACTGCTCCAGCCTCTATGTTTAATAACCGATCCCCTGCGACTGATGTTGAGCCTCTGGTTCCTCTACGAACATGGTGATGATGATCAACTCGAAACAATGTAGTATACCCTCATTTGATGAAAAAATGTTATGTTTGGATTCTGAATTTCTAGCTTTCCACAATGTAACAATACACACAATTTGCATTATGGAACCAATAAATAAGTAACGTTTTAATCTGTATATGTGTTTCGTAAGTCTGTACCCACCCACATTCATTTATGACTATTCGATGTTAAAAAAGATGAAGAATAGTATCGAGTTTAAGCTGTCACCGATAAGTACACTATAGAAGGATTCCAGTTTCCCTTAGGAGTTAGGAGATGTGTTCTAATTGACGCATTGCCTTTCTATTTCCCGGTCTAACCACAGCACGATGCGATTCAACTCCGGCAAACTTCGACGGCATCAACTTCCGCTATCCTCGGCTTGAAACCTTCCTCATTACGCTACTACTTCAGTGGGCTTTTTAAAAGAATAGAAAGTCAAAACCAAGAATGTCCACATCATCTATCCATTATCCATGTGATCGCCACTACCTTGATTACATTTTATCTGACTGGTCATAGATTCGTTGTTTTGTATCCTGAGTCCTGAACGAACATGCCAACACGGTCAAATGAGTCTAATTAATGTGGTTAGTCTACAATTTCATATGGTCATCAGAATAAAAATTTAAACTTTTATAATCCAACGTGAACTCATTAAACTTAAATTAGAATCCCTCAGGCATTGACATTGACCATACTTAATTTGTTATATAATTTCGTATGCCAACATGGTGAGTGGTGACGATGGTCAAATGAGTATAATGTGATTGGTCTACTTTCACATGGTCATCAGAAAAAAGATTGTATTTTTTTATAATCCAACGTTCAATCATTAAGTTAAACTAGAATCCCTCAGGCATTGACATTGACCATAGTTTTATTAGTTTTATGTGCTTTGTAACTTGCTTTATACGCTTCTTTCTAAACCTCTATTGACCTTTACCTTAACATCAGATCGGGCGGGTCCTGAACTTCTTTTTTGATAGAAAAGCTGATTGAGATTTGATCAGATCAAGGACCAAAATAAAAATACAGGAATTATGAAGACTAAAAATTACCGGGTTTTATGTATTGTAGTGTCTGTCTTAACTCTGCAGCTCATGAATGGCTCATCAGCAGCAACACCTCCAAACAGTAAGAATTCTTCAACTTCTTGTAACAGAACCTGTGGAGGAATCTCGATCCCCTTCCCGTTCGGAATCGGTGGGAAGGATTGTTATCTCAACGGTTGGTACGAGGTTGTCTGCAACCCCACCACTTCCGGGTCGTCCGGCACAACTGTTCCATTCCTGTCGAGAATCAACAGGGAAGTGGTGAACATATCTCTTCCAGATGGTTATGGACCATACGGAGTAGTTCTCATCAAAGGTCCTGTGACATCGTTGGGTTGTTCTAGTAATACTAGTCAAGTACCCCAAAAGTCGCTACCGGATCTGAACGTCACGGGCAAGGGCAGTCCATATTTCATCACCGACGAGAACCGCCTCATCGCGGTTGGTTGCGGTACAAAGGCGTTGATGACGGATATTGAATCAGAGATCTTGGGTTGTGAATCGAGTTGCGAAGATAGCAAGAGTAGTCAAGAAGTAACAAACTCGTTATGTGACGGTTACAAATGTTGCCAGGCGAGGATACCGTTGGAGCGTCCTCAAGCAGTAGGTGTCAATGTAGAGCGCTCAGGAGGAGAAGGATGCAAGGTTGCCTTCTTGTCTAGCAAGAGGTATTCACTGTCAAATGTTACTGTACCAGAACAGTTCCATGCTGGTGGCTACGTGGTGGTAGAGCTAGGTTGGTACTTTGCTACTTCGGATTCTCGCTTTAGGAACCCCTTGGGTTGCATAAATATGACCTATTCCGGATCTTACTCATCCGATGATAATTGTCTTTGCGACTATGGTTACTTTTCCGAAATGAGTTATAGGAACTGCTATTGCTCCCTTGGCTTCACAGGGAATCCATATCTTCGAGGGGGTTGCATAGGTAAGTGTTTGTTTCTTCTTCTTTTTGTTGTGAGTAAATCAGATCATTAATACTGATAATTGATATATATGCAGACGATGATGATTGCAAACGACCCAATATATGTGGAGAAGGCACTTGTGTGAACGTGCGTGGAGGCTATAGATGCTATCCCAAGCCCAAGATAATCAAGCCGGCCAAATCCCTCGTGCTACAAGGTGAGTTCCAACGGCACCTTGCATCTACCATCCTTCAAGGTAGAGCAGGAAGTAGTTTTGTTTATGTTTTTCTTCATTGTTGCAGGGGTTCTTTTAGGTTTGTTGGGACTATTGTTCTTAGTTGTTGGTACGCTTGGGTTGGTCATAGTTATAAAAAAGCGAAGGAGGATCATCAGTAGCAGGAAGTTCTTCAAACGTAATGGAGGCTTGTTGTTAAAACAACAACTAACTACTACAGACGATGGTAATGTAGACATGTCGAGGATATTTAGCTCGGAAGAGTTGAAAAAAGCCACAGATAACTTTAGCGTGAAGAGGGTGCTTGGGAAAGGCAGTCAAGGAACTGTATATAAGGGGATGATGGTGGATGGAAAGATCATTGCGGTTAAAAAATCCAAAGTTGTCGATGAAGATAAGCTTGAAACGTTCATCAATGAGATCATCCTTCTTTCACAGATTAACCATAGGAATATTGTGAAACTCTTGGGATGTTGCCTGGAAACAGAGGTTCCAATCTTGGTTTACGAATATATTCCCAATGGAGATATGTTCAAGCGCCTTCATGATGAATCCGAAGATTATGTGATGACTTGGGAAGTGCGTCTTCGCATAGCCATAGAGATCGCGGGAGCTCTTTCATACATGCACTCAGCTGCATCGTTTCCAATATACCACAGAGATATCAAGACTACCAATATCCTATTGGATGAAAAATACGGAGCTAAGGTTTCGGATTTCGGAACTTCAAGATCGGTAACCATTGATCAAACTCACCTGACAACAATGGTTGCAGGAACTTTTGGGTACATGGATCCAGAGTACTTCCTATCAAGCCAATATACTGACAAGAGCGATGTTTATAGTTTCGGGGTTGTCCTGGTAGAGCTCATAACTGGAGAAAAACCGTTGTCCCGAATCCGTTCTGAGGAAGGCAGGGGCTTGGCAACTCATTTCCTCGAGGCCATGAAAGAAAACAGAGTGATTGACATCATTGATATTCGGATCAAAGATGAAAGCAAGCTTGACCAACTGATGGCAGTGGCAAAACTCGCTCGAAAGTGTCTTAGCCGGAAAGGAAGTAAAAGACCAAACATGAGAGAGGCTTCATTTGAGCTGGAGAGGATTCGTTCATCACCTGAAGATCACTTAGAGGCCCATTTCGAAAATGATGATGAAGAGGACCAAGCCATGGAGATCATAGAGGATGGTCCTGGAGGCGTGTACAAGACTGTTCCAGCCTCTATGTTCAATGTATTCCCAAGTTAGATGCACATGGTGACAAGAAAACCAATAAGATCACATCGGCAGCATGTTATCAATCTTTAGCCACAAAGTACATTTGAATTTCACAGTTTATATCTACATTTGAAATGAAGTGTGGATTTTTGATGTGACTTGAATGTATTATTTGATGACTGAAAAAACAAACTTGTCTAGGAGTAGGAGTCAACGATATGTCAGAAATTTTTTTACTTCTAGCATTATGGTTTCAGTTTAGAGACTGGACCTGTAGGTTAGAAGTTATATCCCGCTGCTATCACCATTCTGCTGGTAAGCATTCCCAAAGATACAGAATTGCATGAGCTATATTATAAGAGCACCTAAAGGGGTTTGACATACAACCGACGGTGATGATCCGACTCAAAACACTGCACATGTATACTCTCATCTGATGACATAAAGGTTATATGTTTCGATTATGAATCTCTGGTTTTTTTCACCATGTAGTAAGTACACACAAACTGCATTATAGAATCAAGAAGAAAAAGAATGTTTTAATACAAGAACAATAAATTGGGTTTCAGCTTTCACAGATAACACTCTAGAAGAATTTAAGTTTCCCTTTGGAGATAGCTTGAACATGTTGTAATTGACACATTGCCTTGTCTTTCCCGGTCAAGCCATAGCAAGACGAGTGGCTGGCACCTAAAGTAACCGCAAAGTAAAGATAAACAGTACAGAGGAATGCCAAAAGAGCCAATGCTGTTAAGAGATATTGATGCCTCTGAATAAGAGTCGACCAGCTACCCAACTCATCCCATTGCTTCTTTAGACACTGTTGTCTCCTTAATGGTGAAGATACAAGCCCATCAAGAACCATTGCTTAATAATACCAACCTGCAAATTGACACAGAGTCGTTTACACAAATGCACAAAAACTAAGGAGATCACAATCAGATTGAATGTAGATTTTGGGATCTTTTTCCATCTTAAACAATATTTACAGCTACCAAAAAATTCGACATCATAATTGTCAAATGAGAAACAAGAATCGGAGTAGCAAACGAGAGACACATATCAATTACAATTACAAGACGAGCTTGGATCTTATGCAAAATATGAAAATTAAAGCAACAAACTGCCAACAATAACGTCATTTTCAATCAATCATCAATCACAGTAGACAATAACAAATCGTCATTGATGCACATTGGATTAAGAGAGAGATTCGACGAATCCAAAATTCTGATGCCGATAATGGAGGGAAACACACAGATCCGAAGCAGGTGAAAGATGATTAGAAAACGAACCGGTGAGAATCGGTAAGAAATCTGGAGAAGAAAAAGCTGATTCCAGCTCCGTCGACAACCCCAAAATCTCTCCAGCAGCGTTGTTGGCTTGTTGCGATGTGGAGAGAGAGAGAGAGAGAGAGAGAGATCTCCTCCGTAGGTTGAGCTGGGCCGATTTGCCGGATACGCCGTACGCGGCTTATTAAGTCCGTTTCATAAAACGGGAATTTAGGGACCCTTTTATATACAAAAAGGCTTTTTTTTTTTTAAAGGAAAAAAAAAAATGATGATGCGTTTGCGTTGTTAGCTTCCACTCCTTTGTGTGTTTGAAGATGATGGATGTGCATGTATGTTCTAGAATCTAGATGATGACATTTTGTACCTAGGACTATGATCTGACTCTTGCAGCTTCCAGAGGGCAGAGGGCATTTATTACAAACAAACACGTATAAGATCAAATATTTTAATCATCAACGAAAAAATATGGGATCACGATCCATATCAATCAAATATTATAGATGTCATACCGCAAATAAAATGTAAAATTTTGTAAATCCATATGATAAGTTTGTTTTTTGTTACCTTGTATTGTATGAGGTGTTCAATATTTTGGTTTCATGTTTCAGTAAAACTTTGGTCACGTTTTCAAGCGAGTTAGTATTATTAACCAAGGTTGAGATGTTCAAAACTTTTTTAGACAAACCATTAAAATTCGTTATGTTTTTTTTTAAATGCAACTGGGCCATTAAAATATTGGGAAATTGGGCCATTAGTGGGCCTAAAACGATGGATGCACTATATGGTATTGATTGGTTTACCAGTTCCTTTGTTAGTTGGTCAAAGTCCGAAATCAGGAGCGAGATAATAAAGAAACAAAACGAGTTGTTGTTGTTCTACTTTTCAAGGGTTTTGATCGATCGCCAAGGTATTTTGATTCTCTCCTTCTCAAAGCGATTTTGGTTTTCTTTCTTTTCTTCCATAGGTAAAATCCGATCACTAAAGCTAGGTTTCTCAGGTAAAGCTTTAGATCGGAAGCTATGATCTCATCTCGAATTTGGGGAAATTTCAGCTTATTTAAACCAGTTCCAATTTCATAGGATTATTTCCAAATAATTCTGTTTATTTCTGAGAAAATTTGATTAATCTTCGATTCGGTCTTTAAAAAACCTGCTTTTGTTACCGTCTCAATCCCAAATTAGGTTTTTGTTTTTTTGATAAATTTAGGTTTTTGTTTTGATGATATGTGTTTGTGTTTTTGCAGCTGAAAATTGAATCCAAACTTTGATATTGGAGGAGAAAGAAGATGTTTGCAGCTTCTTGTCTCGCATCGTGTTGTGCTGCTTGTGCATGCGATGCTTGCCGTACTGTGGTTTCTGGGATCAGCAGACGTTCTGCTAGAATTGCTTACTGTGGTCTCTTTGCACTTTCCTTAATCGTTTCATGGATTCTCCGTGAAGTTGCTGCTCCTCTTATGGAGAAGCTCCCTTGTAAGCTTTTTTTTTGTCTGTATTGTTTTTATCTTTCTAGTGAGATTATTATTAGCTTATGGAACTAATTACTGATATTCTGCAGGGATTAACCATTTTCACAAGACACCTGATCGTGAATGGTTTGAGACTGATGCTGTGTTGCGTGTCAGCTTAGGGAATTTCTTATTTTTCTCGATTCTGTCGGTTATGATGATCGGTGTTAAAAATCAGAAAGACCCTCGTGATGGTATACACCATGGTGGTTGGATGATGAAAATAATCTGTTGGTGCATTTTAGTCATCTTAATGTTCTTCCTTCCTAATGAAATCATCAGTTTCTATGGTAAGTTTCATTTATCATTGCAAAGTGGTTAGTGAATCGATTAACTTACAACTAATGGCAATCAATTTGACATCTTGCAGAGTCAATGTCAAAGTTTGGTGCTGGATTTTTTCTTCTCGTTCAAGTTGTGCTTCTTTTGGATTTCGTTCATGGATGGAATGACACATGGGTTGGCTACGACGAGCAGTTCTGGTTAGTAATATTTGCAATCAAATCATATGTGACTTCATAATCCCACTGCTAATCTAAGTACTTTACTTTATATATAGGTATGCTGCGTTACTCGTTGTGTCTCTTGTATGTTACTTGGCAACATTCGTCTTCTCTGGGCTTCTCTTCCACTGGTTTACTCCATCTGGACATGATTGTGGACTGAACACCTTCTTCATTATCATGACTTTGATATTTGTATTCGTCTTTGCTGTTGTAGTTTTGCATCCTGCTGTAAGTTTTGACTGAAACCCTGTATTACTCTGATCTGAGATTTTGGCTGATTCTCAACTTCAGACTCACTGAAGTCAAACTAACCTTTTTTCTTTTGCAGGTCGGTGGAAGTATTTTACCAGCATCGGTTATATCTCTCTACTGCATGTACCTCTGTTACAGCGGACTTGCAAGTGAGCCCCGTGATTACGAGTGCAATGGTCTTCACAAACACTCCAAAGCTGTTTCAACAGGCACAATGACCATTGGATTACTCACAACTGTACTCTCTGTCGTTTATTCCGCTGTTCGTGCTGGTTCTTCCACTACTCTTCTCTCCCCTCCTGATTCTCCTCGCGCAGGTATGTTTTTGACAAAAAATCCTTCTCCTATATTTTGCTTCCCGCGAATCAAAACTGAACTGAAACATGTATTTCAAATCCCTATATTGAAACCTTGTTGTGCGGAGTGCTTGAGAGTTGCTTCTAAGCATCATAACGTACTTGCTTTCAATGAAAATTTTCAGAGAAGCCGCTGCTTCCGATAGACGGGAAAGCAGAAGAGAAGGAAGAGAAAGAGAATAAAAAACCAGTGTCATACTCATACGCATTCTTCCACATCATCTTCTCCCTCGCGAGCATGTACTCTGCAATGCTCTTAACCGGCTGGTCAACTTCAGTTGGTGAAAGTGGTAAGCTGGTGGATGTCGGGTGGCCTTCAGTGTGGGTCCGTGTTGTGACCAGCTGGGCCACTGCTGGTCTCTTCATCTGGTCGCTTGTTGCTCCGATACTCTTCCCCGACCGTGAGTTCTGAGCTAATGCATCTACTGGAGATCCTGAAAAACTTTTCAAGAATCTTGAATTTGTAAAAAAAAAAAAATTATTCTATCTTTCGACTATAATAGAGTCTCGTTTGCTTAATCACGCATGGCCTTTGTTGGCACATCTGTAATATAAAAATATAAATAATTCCTTTCTCGTAATTGTCATCAGTCTCGAATTCCTGCAGAAAATACATTTGAAAAAAGTAAACATAACTAAAACTACAAAAAAATAAATTGCACAGTTGCTGTCACGGAAATTTCATATTTATAATAATCATTTAAGTGAAGAGAAAGATTCTCCAATGAACTTGGAATCACACTGGTAAAATCTCCAATGAATCACCGGGAAAATGTGTCTAATTTCATATCTAACTCTTGCCTTAAACCTCTTTGATCAGCTTGAGGCACTGGGTTTTGCTAGAGATTTAGTCGTAAAAGCTTACTTTGCGTGTGACCATAACGAGGAATTGGCTGCAAACTATATGTTTGAGCGAGAGTGACAAGGACGAAAAGTTTTAGTTTTGTTCCTTCCCTTATTTCATCTGAACCGTTCATTTTAATTTTTTTTTCTTACATCTCCACTAACTAACTGTGTTTCCCACAATTGCGTTTTGTACGATTTAGCGTTTGTCTTTTGTTTGGTCAAAACGGTGGTATGAATTCTGATAAAATTATCAATTGTTAAACGAACCGATCATCGTTATGATTATTGTATTGGTAAGGTCGTAAACCGGGAATTTTAGAAATGTGATTGGGAGTTGATTATGTTTATCCCGGTTATTTGCTTTAGGGAGTGTGTCACGTGCGATGCACGTGAGGTTGCTATTGCCGCGTTTAAAAATCCGAAACGCTATGTTGATAGCGACTGATTGCCAAAAAGTCGGCATTGTTCTACAGTGATTGAAAATCTGAAAGCACTTTTTTTAGGTCACTCTATTTTTCTCTCCTTCGCCGGACTTCGCCGACGCCGCCGGTAATATCTTCTAGTCCAATCCGTCGGCATGAAGCTAACCGTTAAGACTCTCAAGGGTAGCCATTTTGAAATTAGAGTTCAGCCCACCGACACGGTTAGTCCTTCTCCTTTTCTGCTTCCTTGGTTCAAATATTTTCTATTAGGAAATCAGTAGATTTAGATATCTTCGAAAAGTGAGAGCTGCTGCAATACCAATCTGGGATACATATTACTTGATGCATAGCTTTCTAAAAATGCTAGATTCAGAATTTTTTGAGTTTTTTCGATGAAATGTTTTTGGTTGAGTGAGTGTGTTTGTGTATGAGTTCTTACATGGTTATCTCCTGGAATTTTTCTACTTTGTTTTGAAGATAATGGCGGTGAAGAAGAATATTGAAGATTCACAAAGCAAAGACAACTATCCTTGTGGACAGCAATTGCTGATTCACAATGGCAAAGTTTTGAAAGATGAAACTACTTTGGTGGAGAACAAGGTTACCGAAGAAGGTTTTCTTGTCGTCATGCTTAGCAAGGTACCTATTTTAACTTCTTATCTAGTTTTCTTTTTGTGTATGATCCGGTTTCTGATTTCTTTTATGATCCTAGATATTGCAGTGTGAGGCACTCTAAGCAAACTGGATTTATATATCTTGTTTATAGTGGCTGTGTTTTCTATGACCAATGATCACAATAGCAGAAACTCAAATTGATAAAACTTTGATTTTGTTATAAGCAATACTTGAGATGATTCTAGTGGAAGCTTAGATGATTGGTGAATAAACAAATTAAGAAACGCTACAAGAGAACCTATGTGCTTGTGCTGACAACATCTTTGCCTTTTTTTGCAATGGATAGAGTAAAACTCCAAGTTCAGCTGGTCCCTCTTCCATTCAAGTAAGCTTATTTCTTATTTTCTCATGGTTGTGCACATCACTTGGTCAGTTGAGTATTCCTCATTGGAGAACTTTCTTTCTGTCTCACAGCCTACTTCTACCACGACATCTACCATATCTCCAACCCCGGTAATTTTCCTACATATCTGTTCTTGTTGGGTACTTATGCAGTCAACATTTTGTTTCCTTGGTTCATTTAACACAAGTTTCTATCAATTGACCAGCTTGCAGCTCCGTCTATAGCTGTGCCAGCTTCTAATTCTACTCCTGTTCAAGAACAGCTGCCGTAAGTTTTATTCTTGAAATAAGAGGCTTTATTAGAAAGAAAAAAAAATCATCAGTAACTTAAGTTACTTGAATTTATATTTTGAGGATTTTATGGATACTCTATGATCTCCACACCATTATAGGGCACAAAGTGACACCTATGGTCAAGCTGCTTCAACTTTAGTTAGTGGCAGTAGTGTTGAGCAGATGGTACAACAAATAATGGAAATGGGGGGAGGCAGCTGGGACAAAGAAACAGTTACTCGCGCACTTCGTGCAGCGTACAACAATCCTGAGAGAGCAGTGGATTATCTATATTCTGTATGCCCCTTTTCTGTAACAGTGTTCTGTGAATATTTTTTTAAGGGAACGATATTGCTGATATCTCCATTTTAATTTTCAGGGAATTCCTGAAACAGTAGCCATTCCAGCAACTAATTTATCTGGTGTAGGATCTGGTGCAGAACTTACAGCTCCTCCTGCCTCTGGAGGACCTAATTCATCTCCTTTGGATTTGTTTCCCCAGGTAAGAGCTTGGTACTTCGATCATCGAAAAGAGTTAATTGAAGTTGAATTCTCATCGCATGCATGCGTTTTTTCTTTTCAGGAAGCAGTTTCTGATGCTGGTGGTGGAGATCTTGGAACGCTTGAATTCCTCAGAGGCAATGATCAGGTTTTCATTCTATCCTTAACCTCTCTTTTCATTTGTGAGGTCGAGTAGAATGATTAAGGATTTGAAACGTGGTTACTAGTTTTGTTAGAAGCCTGTTTCATCACCTTCAGGGAGGTGTATTCTAGCCTAATCCTATGTGATATTGCTTAACCATTTGATGCAGCTTCCTCATACACTTATCTTGTTACATTTCCATTTGTTTTAGTTCCAACAATTACGCTCCATGGTCAATTCCAACCCCCAGATTCTGCAGGTAAGCGAGTCTTTTATCTTTCTTTTTTTTGGTCCAATAATTAGTCTGACCTATTTATTTTGCTTCTGAATATCTCACGATTTCATTGCTTCTTCTGTTACAGCCTATGCTTCAAGAGCTCGGAAAACAGAACCCTCAACTTCTGAGGTTAATTCAAGAGAACCAAGCAGAATTTCTTCAGTTACTAAACGAGCCCTATGAAGGATCTGACGGGTGAGTAGTCTGCAAATCGTTTTCTTGGTTTGGCCACTGGTTGAATGGCTAAATTTGTGATTGATCAAACCAATCATGTCTATATGTGACTCAATGGCTCTTATTAATTGTTTAAAACTATCAGGGATATGGATATTTTTGACCAACCCGAGCAAGAAATGCCCCACGCAGTCAACGTTACCCCTGAAGAGCAAGAAGCGATTCAACGGGTACTACAAAACACGCATTCCTCATCACCATTATATGAACCTATAATGCCATTTCTCATCCCTTCTAACACATGCGTTAAACCTATTTGATCAGCTTGAGGCAATGGGGTTTGATAGAGCACTAGTCATAGAAGCATTCCTTGCCTGTGACCGTAACGAGGAATTGGCTGCAAACTATCTGCTAGAGCACTCAGCAGATTTTGAAGACTGAGTTCGGACCTAAAAAATCAGCCTTTTAACCAGATCAGCGCACAACAAATTTTTTGTTCCTCCTACCTCTTATATCTGACATTTTACTCTGCTCAGAATATCGAATGATTATATATCTCATACTCACATTTCCATATTTATCCTAAAGAATAATCTGCGTTTTCCACGCTGCTTTGTCTTTCCTTAGTAGTAGTAGTTTTAAGATGTTTGTCTTGAACAGCCAGGAAACCAAACTACTGATAAAGGTTTAATTAAACTGCGGTCATACTCTCACATGTTGTGTGATTGTGATTATTAATTTATTGTACACAGGTATATTCTTATTAAAACGATATTTTCTGCTATATCATAGTGTTTATACACAAAGCACAAGAAACAATAAGCAATGTTGGCGAGCAGGATTATGCCCAAAATATGTTACAGTCTCCGTCACTCAAACATTTTCTCTGGGAATCAAAAGATTTGCATCATACTCTCTGCCATGCATCTCCCTCTTCATCATACCTTCCCTTGTTCTGACTCCAAGTTGCATTTCACTCATTAGCAGCAGCAGCAGCCTGTTCAACACATATTTCAGCTTCCGATTGTTTTAACAATAAACCATCTCTATTAATCAACACCTCTGCCTACTACTTCTAGATCCCTTAAGTGTTTTAACTGCTAACTAATTTGGTACAAACACCAACTACATATGCACTTGAACAGTTGAACAAGCCAATCTTAAGGCCTATCATCATTGACTAAGCGCGAGATGGATTATCATTTACCTGGTTAAGAGGATTATCTGGTGATTTCTTCCACATCTTCCATATCAAGTCCTTGTACTGAGTGTGAGTAAGACCTGGTTTCTCCTCCTTGAGCCTTGGAAGTTCCGCTTCTTCATAGGCCTAAATCACAATCATAGCAACAACTTAGCAAACAGATCCACCAGAGTTTGGCTTCGCATATCATGATCGATCTATCAAACAATTATCATTTCAACAACAGAGACTCTCCTAATATATAACTTCAAAAGTAAAGTTGTTTATACAAGAAAAGTCCGGATTGTCTGCTAAATCCTAAATGTGATCCACTACAAGGAGCAACTACTAATTTCGTCTACAACTCAGCCCCGGAACAGGATACAACAATCTTCCCAATCGAATGTTACGAATGTGAACATCAAACACACTTGCTATGAAAATAAGAAGCATTAAAGTAAAGGGCACAGGAGATAACCTTAAATGAAGCCTTGAGCCTCTTCTCCGGGTGGCGATCAACGGGGAGGTTATCTGACACAGTAATCCGCGCAAGCGCTTCGTCAACAGTATGTGCCTCGATGAGAGAATCATCGCGATTGGTATTGGTCACCAGAACCATCTTTTCATACTCATCTTCCCCTGCCATTCGAGTCTGTTTCTTCTTAGAGTCTTCTGCTTTCTTAGCCAGAGCCACCTGCTCCTCCTCGCGCCTTCTTATGAGCTCAGCCTCTGTGACCTTAGGGACCGGCACAGTGACGCGATTGGCCTTCTTGTCCGGCTTTTTCAAAGCCTTCTCCAGCTCTTTCTCCTCCTGCTCAGCCAGACGCTTCGCTTCCGCTTTCTTAGCGGCGGTCTCGGCCTTCTTCTCCGCCTCCTCCTCCCGCTTCTTCGCCGCCTTGGATTTGGGACCCTCGGCCTCGCGCCAGTATTGTTCCTCCTTCTCCCGAGTCTGACGATCCTTCTGCTCAGCCTCGGCGGCGTTCTTCCGAGATTTGGCGACCTCAGCCTTGCTGTTCAGACCCATCTTCTTCGGCATCTTCGATTCGATAAGGGTAATTGATCTCTCTCGATTGTATGAAATGAGAATTGAATTCGCTAGGGTTACGATTTCCTTCACCGCAAACTTTGTATTAGAAGAAATGGATACGCTCAGAGCTGAGAATTGACTGGTTAAGGCGGTGGCTCAAAGCTTAGGTCAATAACCGACAATTGTTATTGTTTCTTTCATTGGTTAAGGTCGTTAACCGGGATTTTTGGAAAAATTTACTACCAATTTTTAACCATTTTATTTTGGCATATGGATAATAATTTAGTGGAAAAAGATGGCTGGGAATACGAAGTATCCGAGAAGACATGGCTATATCTAAAATTATTACGAAAAATTCTTTTGATAATATAAAAAATTAACAACATATTATAAAAAAAACTTTAGACTAGAGAGTTATATTTATAATTATTTTACCTAATTGTTTTTTTTTTTAATTTTTAGTTTAGTTTTGAAATTATTGAAACTAACTAATTATAAAAATCAATGCATTGAATATATATACAAAATATTTTTATATTGAATATTGTATATATATTTTTAATTATACAATATTATAAATGATTCAATAACATAATTTTCTAAATATTAAAAAACTAAATTTTTTTTTTAATATTTATGTTGGTCAACGCCGGTTAAACTGGTCAATGCCGGATTCCGGCGAAAAGTGTACCGGAAAAAAATGTTCGTGATGTTGGCGACATGACTACATATAGTTCGTATATATAGGCATGCGATACATATAGTTCATGTAGTTTAGGATCCATTATTAAACTTTGCATGTGTGGCTTTCGCAGATACTTCGTGTAGCCAGCCATCTTTTTTCCTTGGGTGAGATGTTTTGTAAATTAAATTCATCCCACCCTATATATCTACTTCTCTAAGACCAGATGACAAAAGACACGTTTGAGGTTCAGGTTCTCACCCAACTAGATTCTCCTCCCATCAACTGTGGTTACTATTTTAATAGAACAAACAATGTATGTAATAACGATACACTGGATATACATATTCTTAAGAAGAATTTGGACTTGCGAGATGGAGATTTAATGCCAAGAATGTTTCAATTTTTTTTTATTTTTTTTTTTTGTCAACCAAGAATGTTTCAATCCTTTTCACATTTTTATGTATTAAAAATATTCAAATTTGGTGGGCATGGAAATTAGGGAGTCTTGGACATATCGCTTCATTTGATTGAAACATCACTCGACCAGATGACAAAAGACACGTTTCAGGTTCTACGTCGATTACGTGAACAATTCTAATTGGTTTCTCAGTTGGTGTGGGTGGTACGAAGTATGAACTCAGCCAAAGAAAGAACTATCATTTTCTTGCTAAATAGTATGTTTCAGTAAAAATTTAAACAGAAAACATTGTAAAAGAGTGAAAATTGATCTCACGTGCAGAAGCAGCAGAACCAAGCTAGCTACGACCTCTCTCTCTCTCTTTTTGACTAAAAGTAATACTTTTTACTCTTTTGAATAGTCAGTCTTGCGGAAGTGGAGTTAGTAAACACTTTTTGTGATCTGGTCTGTATTCAAGTTTGGCGTCTCTCTCTTCAAACAGAGAATCCTAAACAGTTTACGAGACATTTGATTGTCTCTAATGTTTGTAAACATGTGGTTTTTCACTCTCTTTCGGTCTTTTCCAGTTGATGTAGTAATGGAAGCTTTGAGTCTTTAAACGGGAATTTATTGCCGACCAAACCCCAAACAAAAAAAAACACAGGTCTCTCTGGTAGATACTATTTCTAACCATTCGATTATAAGGAAAAGGTTTTGACTTGTTTTGGACGATTGGGGATTTTCAAATGGGTCTGTGTCATTCGAGAATTGATAAGACCACTAGGAAGGTAACCGGAGCAACAAGCACCGCCACTACTACTATGGTGGAGAGACAGAGCTCGGGGAGGCTGCGGAGGCCTAGAGATTTATACAGCGGCGGCGAAATCAATGAGATTCAACAAGTCGTGGGTCGGCTTGTTGGCAATGGTTCTAGTGAAATCGCTTGTCTTTACACACAACAAGGCAAAAAAGGAACTAACCAAGACGCCATGCTTGTCTGGGAGGTTCGTGTTTCTCTTTTAATTAGGGTTTTAGTTCACCGTGATGAAATGTGGGATTGTTTGATGTTACAAGCCTTTTTGTTATGGTTCATTGATTGAAGAAAAACCATTGGTTCTCTGTGTTGTTACGGTTACAATTGTTCTTCTTGTTGCTATTTATGTTCTTCTAGTGATTATTATTTTATTTGAGCTTTTTATATCTTCTTCTTCTGTTCAACTTATTTTCAGAATTTTTGTTCGAGAACCGATACAGTGTTATGTGGTGTATTCGATGGACATGGTCCATTTGGTCATATGGTTTCAAAGAGAGTCCGAGATATGTTACCTTTCATATTATCAACTCAATTGAAAACGACCTTAAGGAAGGAACAAAGCGGCTCCAAGAATGGCCTTGAGTCCGCTACTTGTGTAGATGAAGAGCAGTGGTTTGAGTTACAGCCGAACGAGGAGGACGAAAAGCTACTTCCGGAGATGTACCTCCCGTTGAAGCGGGCTTTGCTCAAGACTTGTCAACAGATGGATAGAGAGTTAAAAATGCATCCAACCATCAATTGTTTCTGCAGCGGAACTACTTCTGTCACTGTGATCAAACAGGTGAATGTTCGGTCACCAGTTATTTACTCTCCCATTGGCTCTGTACATTGACTGTTTGGTATATATTCCTTTATAGGGTAAGGATCTGGTGGTGGGAAATATTGGTGACTCGAGAGCTGTTCTTGCCACAAGAGACCAAGACAATGCTTTGGTCGCTGTACCATTGACCATAGACTTAAAACCCGATTTGCCAAGTATAATCTCTACTTTATGTTGTCCCTATTGATCATCTTGGAAACACAATCTGATTTTCTTCTCTACGTACGTACTTGCTTTAGGTGAATCAGCAAGAATCCATAAATGTAAAGGTAGAGTGTTTGCCTTACAAGACGAGCCTGAGGTTGCGCGTGTGTGGTTACCGAACAGCGATTCACCTGGTTTAGCAATGGCTCGAGCTTTTGGGGACTTCTGTCTTAAAGATTACGGGCTAATCTCTGTTCCTGATATCAACTACCATCGCCTCACTGAAAGAGATCAGTTTATTATTCTAGCCACAGACGGGGTACATTACTCTTTTTATTCTTCTCACAGCTTATTATTGAAATCTTTGGAGCTAAAGTGTCTGTTATGCTACTAGGTATGGGATGTTTTATCGAATAAAGAAGCTGTTGATATTGTGGCTTCAGCTCCTAATCGAAACACTGCAGCTCGTGCTGTAGTCGACACAGCAGTTCGAGCATGGAGGCTCAAGTATCCTACTTCCAAGAACGACGATTGTGCTGTTGTATGTCTCTTTCTTGAAGACACTTCAGCAGCAGCATCCGTGGAAGTTTCAGAAACGGTTAATCATTCACATAAAGAGTCTACAGAGAGTGTCACTATCACATTAAGCAAAGATTCTGACAGGAAGGAAGAGGCTTCAACAGAAACAAATGAGATTGTACCGGTTTGGGAGATAAAAGAAGAAAAGAAGCTTCAGAGTTGCAGGATTGAGTCCAAGAAGACAACACTCGCCGAGTGTATATCGGTTAAGGATGAAGAAGAGTGGTCGGCATTGGAAGGATTGACTAGAGTCAACAGTCTCTTGAGCATTCCTAGGTTCTTCTCCGGCGAGCTAAGATCAAGTAGCTGGAGAAAATGGTTGTGAGTCAACAAAACTCAAAAATGATCAAACAAACAGTCGCTGATTTTCATTTCATGATTGGTTTTCTTTCCATTGATGACATGAAAATCGGTGTTAAGAAATGTCACAAAATGTTCACTGTTTCATGAAGCGAGCGAAGTCAGACAAGCTTCTTCGTGGAAGAACTTATAAAAACGTTTTTGTCTCTGCGGTGTAAGTGCTATCATTTCTTAAATCTTTATGAAGACAGCAAACTGCGAAAACTGCACACATTATATAATACTTCATAAGGGTTCTTGCAACAGAAGGGGGATCAGACACACGCACATCAGGAGATAGACAAGAGCGAAAGAGTTCAAACTTCAAAGGATCACACAAAATTTCAGATCACAAAAAAAGATCATCCCTATGGAGTTCCTCCTTGTGATGATCATTACTGTGCCAAATAGATAACAAAACCAATGTAAATCAACCTAATCTTTCCTTGGTTCTTGAACCTTGTCACTGGGATTAGAAAATATTAGATCAGCAAGACCGATGACCTCAAGCACTGACAAGAGCAGTGACATGCAAACACCAGTATCGACCCTCTTCTGCACTTTCTGTATTAAGAAGCAACAAACAGAGCAGATAAAGACCATGTAACTCTTAAATTTTTTGTCTTATTTTAGGCATGCCTACCGTTAGTCATCTCTATACTATTAAAAGATAAGTACAAATGAAAATGGGTCGGGTCACAATCAAAAAATTGACCCGAAATTCTGAAATCGGATCTTTGAAATTTTTTTGAATATAAATTCGAATTAATAATGAAAAAACAAACTAAAATCAAATATTTATGGAATTCAAATAAAATCTGATTGTATTTATGGTAACTAATCATAAAAGCATATTCCGAACAATACTATACATTAATTACGTATAATATATTTGTTCATATATTTTTGAAACTAATTCCATAACAATCAACGTTTTGTCATTAATTTTGCTTATTTTAGCCAATTATCATTAATTGAAAGATATCTTACTTGCTTCAAGAGATTTCTAGAAAATTTATCACACCTAACCCATCTATTTTATAAATTAAATAGATATTTTTGTTTTGGTCGTATAAATTAAATAGATATGAAATCCATGTAGCTAATTTTAATTTAATTAGATTAAATCAAAATTATGGTATTTTCATACTTATAGCTTACCAAAAAAGTTTAATTTTAAAATTATAAAGATTTCTTGAATATGATTTATAGAATTATTTAACAAGATGATAGATATTTATTAAATTTTGTGAATCATGAAAAATAATAATTAATTTTTAATCATTATATTTCACCTTTCAAAGTTTCAATCTCTCATCTAACAAATAAGATTCAGATTCTATTATTCCTATGTCCAAACTCTATTTTGTTGTATGACTAAATAATATTTCCATTAGAGTTGTCGAAGCGAGTTGATTCGTCCTGTTAACCCCGTTTTGTGATAGGCAAAATATATTTTGAAATATAGTTAGTCTGTCCACACGATCCGCGGGTAGCATATATGAAACACAAACCCGTCCCGCAAATGTATGATGATTTGCGGGGTTATCCGTGAATTTTGTTTAAATAATTTTAAAGTAGCAAAAATTTAAAATACTACTAAAATAAATAAATAAAACAAATTTAGAGAAAATAATTTTATATATCAATATATTTATAAATAATATAATTTCATTTATTAAAAGTTTTTTTAAATTACCAAATGTTGAACAAATTATATTTTTATCAATAAATACTAACATGCGGGCTGATCCGCCAACCCTCAGACGAAAACCGATTAAAACCTATGATCCACTGCGAATCAATCCATGTGGTCCGTTTATTTGCGGATTTAATATATTTTCCCAAATATGCCCCATAGTGAGATGATTTGGGCTCGACCCACAGTTTCCTATGAATCGTCTAATTTTAGAATTCTAAAACACAAAATCCCATTTTTTAATAATAATTAATATGATCGGTTTAATTATAAACAATTTAATATTTTCTCTACAATTCGTTATTATGAATATTTATAAGTACACTACACGATTCGCTCTACTTAAAACGCGCACAATATTAAAATCAACGTATGTAAACCAATATTCTCCCGCGGTGGACCGCGGGTCCTATCCTAGTTAGCTTAGTATAAAGTGATTCTTGGTGGAGCAAACCCAAGACTGATCAGTGATCACCATTCATTTCATACATTGGACTAACTTAAGCAGTTAAGCTAATGACTCACCAAAAGTAATTTGTTTGAAATATTTAAGAGCTAAAGTATATATTACCTTAACGCCAGAGGCACTAACATCCACATGGTGGTCTAAGCCATCCTGTATAAAAGGAAAATACCAGATTTGGTAAGACAGGGAAACCCAAATCAAGGCAGTAAAAACAATGAAAAGCCGATGACATACGATAAGCCTTTTCTGCAAGCCAAGCTCCTCATTGAGAGCTAGAGCAATGTGTTTTACACTCATGACTGTTGCCTCCAACTTCTCAAGTTCTTCGTCTTGTTCTACTCGCAGAAAAAAAAGAACATACTAAATAGAGAAACTAATACAGAATTCAATATCTGTATTATATTCACTAGGATAAAAGCAGCTTGCCTTTCATAACTTGTCGTTGTAATCCAACAATTCCTTGGTTATCCATGCCAATAACTCTGCTCATGATATCATCTTGCTTTTCTGGCCTCAACAAGCTGTCAATATTGGAAAATTTTAACATGTCCAAAGCAGACGCCATCTGATTTGCTTTTGATCTCAGATCCTCAACCATACCCTTGCGCCGGCTCATCTCTTTTGCTGAACTGTGCCAGTAAGTAAATGTTCAGATTGACAAAAAAGAAAAAGAAAAAGATACATTCACATATTAAACATTAATTAAACTTTAAAAAAATATCAAGTTTACATAGGTTTTCCAGGACTTTTAGCAACAAGATACTGCAGAGTCTCTACTCGAGTTGCCAAAATGGTGATCTTTCTTCGCATAGATGAAGCATGACGTAGATCATAATGTTCTGATCCGGCCATTGAACTGCTTTCTAATATCATTTCATCAATCTCCTCTGAGAGTTTTAAAGCCTCGTTGTGTTCTCTCTTCCATGAATCCAACGAAGAAGCCATTGACCTGATTCCTACATAATCAAAAAAGTTAAATCAAATACAGATCACTTTCAACTTGACCAAGGAATGTATATACAAGATGCAACAACAACAACCAAAATCCAACTAGCTTACAAGAAGCAACAAATTCAATATTGGTATTAACACATGTATTAAGGGATGATCGGAGCAATTCAACAACATATATATTCCCAAAAAGAGAATCCAATTGCTCACCAAGGACCTTTGATTAATCCATCATTTTCATGGAGAAATAGATCAACTAGCTGAGTGCTGACTTTGTAGCCACGCAACCAGACGGCAGTTTCCGTCGAAAGAAGAGATCTTTTAAATACGAGGCCGTTTACTTATATGATCGTAGAAAGTTAGGCGTTGACAAGTCATTTAGAGATTAAGAAACAGTACACACAAAAAATGAAGGACCAAAAGGAATTTTGTTTCCAGTGATAATGGATGGATGACATGAATATCGGTATTATATAAATTTCCCACAATATTGAACTCAGACAAGTTTCTTTGATGAAGATCTGACATATACCCTTTTTTTTTTGTCTCTGCATTTTACTCACTACCACTTCTTAAATCTTTATGAAGACAGCAAACTGTGAAAACTGCACACGTTACATATTATTATTTCTTAAGGGTTCTTGTAACAGAAGAGAAATGAAAAGCTCAACCACAAATGTGGAATGAGGAAAATACATTACAACCATTCACATAGAGAGTAGAGGCCAGTGACAGTGACCTACAGAGAAACTTATAAGTTTTCTGATGTTGGTATTACAGATACTTAACCAACATCCATATTACAACAACAAGACCGACGATCCCCAGCACTGACAAGAGCATTGACATGCAAGAGCAACCACTTCTCATATTCTTGTTCATGACAGCAAGGCTCTTCTGCACTCTCTGTAATAAGAAACAACATACAGAACAGATCAATGTCTTTAATTAGCCGTTAACTTAGCATAATGTGGTTCTTGATTGAGAAAACCCAAAACAGATCATCATTAGATCAATGTTACTCCTGATAAAGTATGGACCAACTAAAGCTTGGGATTCACCAAAGTGATTTGTTGAAATATTTAAGAGTTGAAGCATATATTACCCGTAAGCGAGAGTCAGTAACATCCACATGGTAATCTAAGTCATCCTGCATACAGGAAAATCCAAATGTGTCACGATCCGAAAATTCAAACCAAGGCAATACAATGAAAAGCTAGTGACATACAATAAGCCTTGTCTGCAAGTCAAGCTCTTCACTAACAGCCAGAGCAATGTGTTTTGTGCTCATGACTGTTCCCTCCAATTGCTCAAGTCCTTCGTCTTGTTCTACTCACAGGAAAATAACATATTCAATAGAAAAACTAGTACAGAAATCAACAACATCTGCATTATGTTTACTAGGATAAGAGAGGTTACCTCTCATAACTTGTCGTTGATATCCAACAATTCCTTGATTATCCATGCCAGTAACTCTGCTCATAGAATCATCCGGCTTTATTTCTGGCCCGAGCAAGCTGTCTCTATTGGCAAAGTTTGACATGTTCAAAGCATTCGCCATCTGGTTTGCTTTTGATCTCAAATTCCCTACCATATCCTTGCGCCGATTCATCTCTTTCTCTGAACTGTGTCAGTAAGTAAAAATTCAGATTGACAAGATCAGATCAACACTACACTTAAAAGTGTCTACTTTACAGTTTTAAGCAATTAGGATTTAGACTAGTAAATGGCTTACATAGGTTTTCCATGAATTTTAGCAAGAAGAGACTGCAAACTGTCTAATCGGGTACCGAAAATGGTGATCTTCCTTCGTATAGCTGAAGCACGACGCTGAGCATCAGGCCCTGTGACAGCAGAAGAACTTCTTTCTGATATCATTCCATTAATCTCCTCAGAGAGTTTTAAAGCATCGTTGTATTCTCTCATCCATGAATCCGACGAAGACGCCATTGACCTGACTCCTATACAATTAAAAGCTAATCAAAGCCAAGACCTGGGATTATACATCACTTTCAGAGAAATTTTCGAACTTAATCAAGGATGTATATGCAACAACAACAACAAAGATCCACAAATTGAGACAAAAACGCGGCCTTTGGATAGAATTTTCTATAATCAGACACAGAAGCTCAAAATATGAAATTTCCAGGATCGATAAGTTCATGATAAGGGAAGATCGGAGCGGTTCAGCAACAGATATAATCCCAAATCAATGCACTGGGATTGACGAAAATAACATGGTTAAAAGAATCGAATTGCTTACCAAGATATTCCTCGGACCTTTGATCAAACCTTCTATTTGATCCTGTAACAGATCGGCTTATTGAATGTTGACTCTGTTTTCGCCGGAACCACCGTGAATCGGAGGAGAATGAGTCGACCTGTCACGCACCGTCGAAAGAAAGAAGAGATTTAAAGATGAAGCTGAAATAAAACGACGCTGTTTAACTTGTGATAGCAGAAAGTTATGGGTTAATTAGTTATTTAAGAAAGTATTGGTTAATAAACAGAAACCATGTATAAATAAAGGACCAATAAAGAATTTTTAAATTTTCGATCCCCACATCCATCCCATGCTTGTGCTCCTCTGTCTCCTTCTTCCTTGTCAGAATCTTGAGTTTCTCTCTAACTGTGTGTCATAATTAGATCGTTCTGATTGCAGTTTCCGTTTCGATTATCGTTAATGGTGTTTTTGTTTCCGGGAAAGTGATATATTTTGAAGGGTAATTTTGGTGTTCTAAAGCAAGCTCGAGAAGGGGATCGCACGATACATTTTTACAATCTCGCGACTTCGATTCATGTAAGTGTTAGCTCTCTTATTCTTCTTTCTTGCACAAAGTTGAATCTAAATCCTTTACCTTTATCTCTCCTTGGGTTCAAATTCATGTTTTTTTCTATAACATTTATCGAGTTTGAGATGTCTGATCGTTAGTGGCTGAAACTTGTTTTTCAGGGAATCAATAGAGCAGTCTATAATCCCAGGTTTGCCTGATGATTTGGCTTTGAGATGCATAGCGAAGCTTTCTCATGGCTATCATGGAGTGCTCGAGTGTGTTTCCAGAGGCTGGAGAGATTTAGTTCGTAGCGTTGATTACTCTTCCTATAAAGCTAGAAATGGATGGTCAGGGAGCTGGTTGTTTGTGTTGACAGAACGTTCTAAGAACCAGTGGGTTGCTTATGATCCTCAAGCTGATCGATGGCATCCTTTGCCTACAACTAGGGCTGTTCAAGATGGTTGGCATCATTCTGGTTTTGCGTGTGTTTGTGTTTCCAATTGTCTTCTTGTGATTGGGGGTTGTTATGCGCCTTCTGTGTCATCGTTTCCTCATCAGAAGCCTGTTGTCACTAAAGATGTCATGCGGTTTGATCCGTTTAAGAAAGAATGGAAAATGGTTGCTAGTATGCGAACACCACGGACTCACTTTGCTTGTACTGCTGTCTCTGGCAAGGTTTATGTTGCTGGAGGTCGCAATTTAACCCATTCCAGGGGAATTCCCTCTGCTGAGGTTTATGATCCTGTGGCTGATAGGTATATTTATTCCTCCACTCACGTGGCCTATATTCTCGTGTATTATCTGGTGTAGGATATATATAATTGGCATGAAGAATCCCCACAATTTACTCTTTTTGGTTTTTTTCTATGCTGGCTGAGATATACTTTTTAAAGTTTTCTTATGTTTAACTTGAGAAGCTATCAAACTGGAGTCTAACATAGAAGTATTGCAGATGGGAGGAATTACCAGCAATGCCTAGACCACAGATGGACTGCTCGGGGTTATCGTACAGAGGTTGCTTTCATGTTCTGAGTGACCAGGTGGGATTTGCAGAGCAAAATTCATCTGAAGTTTTTAATCCACGAGACATGACTTGGTCCACTGTGGAGGATGTCTGGCCATTCTCTAGAGCCATGCAGTTTGCTGTTCAGGTGATGAAAAATGATCGAGTGTACACTATTGTAGATTGGGGAGAAAGCTTGATCAAGACTAGGGATACAGATGAAGGGGAATGGTACAATGTTGGTTCAGTTCCTTCTGTTGTTCTTCCTAATCATCCGAGAGAGTTAGAGGCCTTTGGTTATGGGTTTGCAGCTCTAAGGGATGAGCTCTATGTTATAGGAGGTAAGGTCCTTAAATGGGAAGAATCAGGGGCAGGGAGATTTGACATTGTGAGATTGCCCGTTGTGAGGGTATGTAACCCTTTGGATAGGCCTCTGAATTGGAGAGAGACCAAACCGATGTGCATTCCAGCCGGTGGGTCCATCATTGGTTGTGTATCCTTGGAAGAATCTTCTCCGCTTTAAACCAAGGTGATAGAATCTTCTGGATGTATAAAATTGTTACAGTCAATTCTTTGATTGTTGCATGGTGAGAAGAAAAAGTAGTTAGAAGGAGTCATGGAAAGCATTTGGTTATCATCGATATCTGCTTTTGTCTTTTTACAAACAAGTAACTTCGCCTTGTTATTTGATCATCTCTTTTACAGAAGTCTCGTAAGGCTTATGTTAAAAAGTAAGAAAGCCTGAAATTTAGCATATCTTGTTTCCATGCTGGCATGGAAACTCTACGCCTTAAACTTAACTATGTGTTGGTTTGTGGTTGATTATGGTTGCGTATTTTCCAGTAAGGGTTAACACTCTTTAAAAAAATTTACTTCTACTGTAGCTGACTTATATTCATGGAATGTCCGAGTGTGTTCCTTCTCTGAGAAAGACCTTGGTCTCATTGTCAAAGTGGAAGCTTCTGCTGTAATACTCACTGCACATACAACTGGACACTTGGAGCTAACTGGAAATCGTGTGGGTGAAAACAGTTGTTTATGAGGGAAGTCGTTACCTATAATGCATTTATCTTCCGGGTAAAAGGCTTCCACCTTTATGTGAAATGAGTTCAGTATGTCATGCTATGAGATGATTACTGGTTGTTAGGCCGTTACTGTCACTCATATTTGGAATTAAACTTGTACATAATAAGAGATTCATGTTACCTCAGTGTATTTGAGTGTTAGTGAACTTATCTTTTGTTATGTCTCCATTTTACCTACACTGAGGTGTATCATGTGTATAGACTATAGATCAAACACGTGAAAGATAAATTAAGAGTAATACAAATAGTTTGCTTCTTTTTTAGATTCGTTGATTTGCTACATAAAGTCTTATAAATTGCAGAAAGAGGTATTATTAGATGAAGTAATGGAATACATTCACACACACATATATATATATATATATATATTTTGGACGGCGATTCGCACATATCATTCTTTGTTGAAATACTATCTTGAAAGGTGAAGAGTATTGGTTTTCCTGTCACTGTGTCTTGTGAAGCATGAGTGGTTCTGATTCCAGTGAGAATGAGCTGTTTTCAATGACTATGTCCGGAGAAGAGTAAAGGAGTGACATAGATTCGGGCATTGCAATCCGAATGTGCCCATGCTCTTCATCATTCTGAGTTCGGCTTTGAATGCCTTTTTTCTTGGATTGCATCCTATCCAGTTCAATAAAAACATCTCTCATGGTAGGGCGATGTTCTGAGTTCAAGCTCAAACACCTTCTTGCCAGGTTGGCTACTGAAAGGACCTCCTCTTGATTGCATTCCTCCTTGATGCGAGCATCAAGAATCTCGTGAAGCCTATCATTTCTCATGGCTTCGAGGAAGTAGGCACCCAACATCCTGACTTCTTGGCGCCTCAGAAGGGAGACAGGTTTCTCTCCGGTTAAGAGCTCAATGAGCAAAACCCCATAGCTGTAGACATCGCTCTTCCCTGTGAAGTGGCTTGACTGAAGGTACTCTGGGTCTACATATCCAATTGTTCCCTGCACTATTGTTGTCAAGTGAGTGTCATCTATAGCAATTGATCTCGAAATTCCAAAATCTGACACTTTTGCTCGGTGCCTTTCATCCAATAAGATATTTGTTGACTTGACATCCCTGTGGTAAATTGGTATAGAGGCGGCTGAATGCAGGTAGGAGAGGGCATCTGCGACTTCGCAGGCGATGCAGAGACGGACTTCCCAAGTCATTGGGAAATCCTCTGATGGGTTTTGAAGATGATCGAAAAGGTTTCTGTTTGGAATGAACTCATACACTAACACAGGTACCTCTGTCTCAAGACAACATCCTAAAATCTTGACAACATTTCGGTGGTTAATCTGTGACAGAAGGATTATCTCATTGATGAATTCCTCAAGATTCTTTTCTTCCAATGCTTTGGACTTTTTGACAGCGACGATCATCCCATCTTCCAACATTCCCTTATAAACTGTACCTTGGCCTCCTTGTCCCAGTATTCTACTAGGGTTGAATTTGTCAGTTGCCTTGTTAAGGTCATCGGAGCTGAACACTTTGGTTCTATTGACACTGCCTTGAAGGAACGATGTCTGTTGTTGTAACAACAAACCTCCGTTTCGTTTGAAGAATTTTCTTTTCTGCTTGGCTGCTTTCCGCTTTTTATTAACCTTGCATAGCCACCACGTTCCAACGACTAAAAGCAACAATCCAGTACTTAGTGTTCCACCTGCAGAATAACTCTCAGCGCATTGTAAGTTGATCTTTACAGTTTCAATGAAGAAAGATTATCGGCTATGCAGAAATTAACTTACTTAAAATGGCTGGCCAAGTTTTCTCACATTTGAATGATCCAGACACATTCACACACTTGTTCTTTCCACATTTATTGTGATATGAATATCTGCATTCATCAATGTCTTTGGACAACACCAAACTTCTCATAATCACTTACAGAATTCTATGGATTAAGGCTATACACATACTCAAAGAATGAGAAAGAAGTTTATACACACCTTGACATCCACCAGGTATATAAGGATTTCCTTCATAACCATGTTTACACCAACACTGATATCCATCTATGGCAGATAGGTTTCCTAAACTTCTTGGAATTTGTTCACCATTTATACTTGCCTCACATAGCGCTGAACCCTCTGAAGGGATGGGGAGAACATCAAGGAACCATTCCAGCTCCATCATAACGTAATTTCTGTACTCTTGTAGTTCAGGAGGTGTGAACATGAACGCAGCCAACTGGAATTGTGTCAAGTAGGCAACCTGACAACCATCTTTACTGGGTTCTAGTTTCTCCACAGTTGCATCAAACACTTGAAGACCAGATGGTATTTTGGTCTGACAGCACTTATCACCCAGACAGCCCCTGACGTTATCATCTTTGTAAGTCTCATTCTTGCACGTCGCCTCACATCCCACGATCTGTGATCCTGTGCCTTTCATCAAGGCCTTGTTGTTACATCCAATAGCTGTGAACTTATTATTGTCTGATATGAAGAATGGACTCCCCTTCAGATTCAAAGACGATGAATCTCCTACTGATCCGTTGGAACAACCTGTATGTTTCAATGGACCCAGAATGTGAATCTTGTTGCTCTGATAATGAGAACGGTCATCGATGGAGTAATAGCTTCCAAGGTCAAACGAAATAACCTCCCGTCTGATGCTAAGCAGGAAAGGTACAGAGATTTGTTCTGATGAGTTGATGCAGACGATCTCGAACCATTTGTCCTTGTAACAACCTTGGCCTATCCCAAAAGGGTAAAGAACACTAACATCTCCGCAATGGTCTTTGCAATTTGGAAGTGCAAGAGGGAAAGTAGAAGCAGCTGCGTGTTCGGAGATTCGCAACAGAATCAATACCACAAAGAAACGTTTTAGATCACTATCCATTCTCTCTCTCTCTCACACTCTGATCAGCAATGATTTGACTAATACTATAATACATAGTATCGTTCCTCTTGGTCTTTCTTTGAAATTTCCTCGCAATCACTGCTAATGTTTCTTTATTACCCCATGATTACATCAGCGAAGACCTTGACCGCTTCAACCAAAAAGAAAGAAAAAAAAAAACGAAGATCTTGACCTGTGTGTGAATGGGCTCCATAAAAACAGTATAAACACAAAAGAGGAACCCCTTTCTGAAATGCGAAAAACATTCATAATGAAACGCTTCGAACAAAAACACAGAAGCAGAATACTCTGTTTCCTCTGTTTTACGTTGACTTGCATGTATGTAAAAAAGGTTGTAGCGACAACCTATTGGCTGTCTGTCAATGGGCTTAGAACTTGAGAGTTAATAAGGCTATGGACTTTTATGTTTAGACTTAATGGGCCTAAAACTTGAGATGGTCTACAAAATTCATACGAATCAAACTAAAAAGAATCTAAAAATTTCCGAAACTGAATTCAATGCAAATTGAAATGGAATCAGATTAACCGAATTCAGAAAATGACAGTTCTTGTGGGAAAGAAAAAAACATTACGTAAGGGAATAAAAAGAGAGAAATTTTATAACGAAAATGAGAATGAAAGTATGCGCACGTTCTTCTACTTAATTCATTGATTTAGGATCTGATGATATTGAGAGTCCCATTTAATGCAAACCGTATAACATAAGCTACGGGAGAGAGAGACTTGTTGATTCCATGCTTCTCACTTACTCCTCACTTATTCTTCTTTCATCTCAGCCGTCTATTTCTCTCATCATCGATAGATGTACGGTTCTCGTTTCTTCTGGTTTTAAAGCACCGAGTCACACGGACACGAACCATTTTGTATTTTTCTTTCCATTACAATACAAAAAAAAAAAAAAAAAAAAAAACTCTTGACAATTTATTTGGTCATTTTTATCATTTCTTTAAACGGATTTACCATTTTTTGAGTAAGCAACGAGGAAACCTAGAGAAAGTGAGAGAAAACCAACAAAAATAATTTAAAAAAAAAGTTAGGGTTTTGATGCAGATTCTGAGATTTGAACAAAGAGAAGAAGATGTTTTTGATTGTTGCTAGCTCTCACAATCCTTCTTGAATCTACTTACCGGTCTAGCTCTACATTTTTTCTTTGTGGTATTGTTCTATCAGTTTTTGATTCTTTGACATTTTCTGAAACTTTATTTTTGGGTATCTGAAGCTAATTTTAGCGATGTGGTATGTCTAAATCTTTCAAATCGAGCTAGGGTTTTGTTTTCCTTTTTTCTTAAATTACTTGTATTGAGGTTTTGGATTAATTTATGTAAGGTTGATGTGGAAAAGTTTCCATTTTTGGAAGAAAAAGCATGTTTTTGGACTTTTCTGGTCGGATTATTCAATCTACAATTGCAAATGGAAGAACTTTGATGAGTATTACTCTGTTTAATTGATAGTATGAAAGACTCGATGTTTCTGGAGGATTCATCTTCTGCTAAAACTTATTTATCTCTCTCAATTGTGTTCATTGCAGCTTAAATATTTAGGAGGGGAAGTTTGTAGCGGCATCGGCTACAATCGCTGAAGCAATTTGGCAGTGATTCTTTATAGTTCAGTATGTCAGATTCTTGTTACAGGTCTTGTCAATTAGAATAATTTGAAGGACTGTTGTTGTTCTTGTTGTTGTGATGGATAGAAACAGACCACCACATCCGTTCCAGCAACATGCCATGGAACCTGGATATGTGAATGACTCAGTCCCTCAAGGATTTACCCCTGATCAAACGGGTATCTCGAATGCAAATGTCCGACCTCATCCTGCAGATGTTAAGCCGGGGCTTCATTACTCCATACAAACAGGGGAGGAATTTTCTCTCGAGTTTCTACGCGATCGGGTGATTTCTCAAAGGTCTGCAAATCCCATTTCAGCTGGAGATATGAATTATCCCATAGGTTATAACGGGCACGCAGGGTCTGAATTTGGTTCAGATGTTTCGAGGATGAGCATGGTGGGAAACGGCTTGACGCAGTATGAGAGAACAAACCCCACGGGTCACGAGTTTGGGAATAAACTTGGGCATATCCATTCAGCACCAGAAGCTTTATTATGTCAAGATAGAAGTTTAGGAAATTTTCATGGATATGCATCTTCTTCAGCCTCAGGTAGTTTAACAGCAAAGGTTAAAGTCCTTTGTAGCTTTGGTGGGAAAATACTTCCACGTCCAGGTGATTCAAAGCTTAGATATGTTGGAGGTGAAACACACATTATTTCCATAAGAAAGGACATTTCTTGGCAGGAGCTCAGGCAAAAAGTTCTTGAAATCTACTACCGGACTCACGTTGTGAAGTATCAACTTCCTGGTGAAGATCTTGATGCCTTGGTGTCTGTATCATGTGACGAAGATCTACTGAATATGATGGAGGAGTATAATGAGATGGAAAACCGTGGGGGTTCGCAAAAGCTTAGGATGTTTCTGTTCTCTGTGAGTGATTTGGATGGTGCTCTTCTGGGGGTTAACAAAAATGATGTTGACTCTGAGTTCCAGTATGTTGTAGCTGTTAATGACATGGACCTTGGATCAAGAAGCAACTCAACCCTTAATGGATTGGACAGCTCTTCTGCAAACAATTTAGCTGAGCTGGATGTCAGGAACACCGAGGGAATCAATGGTGTTGGCCCTTCGCAGTTAACAGGGGTAGATTACCAACAATCCTCTATACAGTATTCTGAGTCTGCTCCACCAACCTCCTTTGCTCAGTATTCTCAATCTATTCCACATAATGCTGCATTTCAGTTTCAGCAAGCTGTTCCCCCAAATGCTACTCTTCAGTATGCCCAGTCCAACCCACCAAGTTCGTCTATCCACTATCCTCAATCTATTCTACCAAATTCCACTCTTCAGTATCCACAATCGATCTCATCCGGCTCGTATGGAATATACCCACAATATTATGGAGAAAGAGAGCAATTTCCAATGCAGCATCATGATCCCAATTCTTCTAATTACTCTATTCCCATGCCTTTCCAAGGGCAGCCATACCCTCACCCTGGCATCACACAGCAAAACGCACCAGTTCAGGTAGAGGAGCCAAACATAAAACCTGAGACGAAAGTTCGTGATTACGTTGAGCCTGAAAATCGTCAAATTCTGGCAAATAATCACCAGAATCTTCCTCAAGCGGATGATACTGAGGTTAAGAATCGGGAGGCATCAGTTGCAACAACTGTACCCAGCCAGGATGCTGCACATATGTTGCCCCCAAGAAGAGACACACGGCAGAACAATCCTGTGAAGCCTTCTACCTACCGTGATGCTGTTATTACTGAGCAGGTTCCTCTATCCGGTGAAGATGATCAGCTTTCATCATCAAGTGGTACCTGTGGTCTTGTTCATACCGACTCTGAGTCGAATCTAATTGATCTTGATTATCCAGAACCTTTACAGCCTACCCGGAGGGTATATCGTTCGGAGAGGATACCTCGTGAACAGTTGGAAATGCTAAACCGCTTGTCAAAGTCTGATGACTCACTTGGTTCTCAGTTCTTAATGTCTCATTCACAAGCTAGCACTGGACAGCAAGAACCAGCAAAAGAAGCAGCGGGTAAATCACATGAAGATTCCCATATTGTTAATGATGTGGAAAACATCTCTGGAAAAGTAGGGGCATCAAATGTAACCGTGGACAAAATAACGGTCAATGGTGGAGGTATTGAGCCTGAAGCTCGTAACTTGAGCCATGTAGACACAGAAATGAGTCACGATATCCCTGAAAAGCAAACTTCTTCAGGTGTTCTTATTGATATCAATGATCGGTTCCCTCAGGACTTCCTTTCTGAAATATTTGCAAAGGCACTCTCTGATGATATGCCGCCAGGTGGCAATCCATATCAGCATGATGGAGCTGGTGTTAGCTTGAATGTAGAGAATCATGATCCTAAAAATTGGTCTTATTTTCGGAATCTGGCCGAGGAGCAGTTTAGCGAAAGGGATGTTGCTTATATTGACCGAACCCCTGGCTTTCCATCTGACATGGAAGATGGTGGAGAAATCGCCAGATTGCATCAGGTTGCTCCGTTGACAGAAAACCGTGTGGATCCTCAGATGAATGTCACAGAGAGTGAGGAATTTGGTGCTATGGTTGAGAACTTAAGGACCTCAGACTGTGAACATGAGGTATAAGTCTCTGGTAGATTTGATTTTATGATTCCAAAACCATGAGTATACTAATGAGGATGAACTTGATAGGATGAAAAGACAGAAACAAGGAACGCTGGACTTCCCCCAGTTGGCCCGTCTCTGGCAGATTACGACACAAGTGGCTTGCAGGTATGATGGACAATAAATTCTTACACCTGATAGAAGTTTTACTTATTCTGCATTAGAAAAAGGATAGTAAGTTTCAGATTGTTAAAAGAACCAAACATAGTATAACCCCTGTTTGTCATTATAAAATAAATTTCTCCTTCTAGTCTCTGCCTGTGATCCTTCTATTCTTAAATGTTTCTAGATCATTATGAATGACGATCTCGAGGAGCTAAAGGAGCTTGGTTCTGGCACATTCGGTACAGTGTATCATGGGAAATGGAGAGGATCAGATGTTGCCATCAAAAGGATAAAGAAGAGTTGCTTTGCTGGCCGATCATCTGAGCAAGAAAGATTAGTGAGTGTTTCTGCATTTTCTTTTGGAAAAATTTCCTTTGGGCATATGTTAAAAGGATTACCTAGTGATAACACTTCTAGATTTCTCATCATGGGACGCTTATGAATATACCTTTTCTGTTCGCTAGACTGGTGAATTCTGGGGAGAAGCTGAAATTCTTTCAAAGCTTCATCATCCAAATGTGGTTGCATTTTATGGTGTTGTAAAAGATGGCCCTGGCGCAACATTGGCTACTGTAACAGAGTACATGGTTGATGGTTCTCTGAGACATGTTCTACTTAGGAAAGATAGGTACAAATCTCTCTTATAACGTTTCTGTGTTTTCCCATCTGATGAACGGTTAAAGATTATTTGCTTTTTCACTTTTATATTGTCAGACACCTGGATCGTCGCAAGAGACTAATCATTGCCATGGATGCTGCCTTTGGAATGGAATATTTGCACGCCAAAAACATTGTTCACTTCGATTTGAAATGTGACAATTTACTTGTGAACCTCAAAGATCCTTCTCGCCCAATCTGCAAGGTAAAAATTCAATTCATATGATGTCTTTGAACAAAATCCATTCATACTCTTCACTCGTTTGTTCTTCCTCAAGGTTGGTGATTTCGGTTTGTCAAAAATTAAAAGAAATACATTGGTATCTGGTGGTGTACGCGGAACCCTACCATGGATGGCACCAGAGCTTCTCAATGGTAGCAGCAGCAAAGTTTCAGAGAAGGTAAAATGAAATATTTCATAGTGAATAACTGAATATAAAGAATGGGAACAAAACCAAATCGAGTTATTGCTGTTTTTCCTGCAGGTCGACGTCTTCTCTTTCGGTATAGTCTTGTGGGAGATTCTAACTGGGGAGGAACCATATGCTAATATGCACTACGGTGCTATAATAGGTGCGTGTTTAACCAACCCACAAGCTTTGGTTTTTCCTGCCCAATCCTGTTTTTAGTTCGGATTTTTTGGTGTATGAAATATAACAGCTCGGATTGATTCGATTCTGGTTTTGGGTTTTACATTGAAGTATTTTCAGAAAATATGAGGTTATAGTCAGCTTATGGTCGGGTTTTTGGCCTGGAATTGGTAAAATCGGATTGGACACGACTAGGTCTTATCTTGCTGAGAAATTTATGGGTTAAACGCAGGTGGGATAGTGAACAACACACTGAGGCCGACCATACCTAGCTACTGTGACTCGGACTGGCGAATATTAATGGAGGAGTGTTGGGCGCCTAACCCAACAGCACGGCCATCCTTCACGGAGATAGCTGGTCGGTTACGTGTTATGTCAACTGCAGCTACTTCAAACCAATCCAAACCACCAGCCCACAAGGCTTCAAAGTGAAACAGAGTCGATATTTTATAGGTTTTATCTTTACTCTTTCCAAGTGTTTTGGACTTTTGGGGTCAGGAGGGAGATATTTGTTGACCCTTTTCTCCTTTCCCTTTTTTTTTCTAACGAAAACGAAAACAAAATAAATAATAAATTTGTTTTTTCTCGCCAGTGTGGAGAAGGAAATAAGATAGATATGTAAGAACTAAGAACGTTTCTTACCAAATGTGAACAATCGAGGTTCAAGAAATATAAGGGACTGGCTAAATGTGAACAAAGTAAGAACATTGGTAAACATAGATTCTTAGAGATTTGCTGCTCAAAATGCAGCTAAGAGAACAAAACTTGAAGATGATTTTAGTCATCAATTTTCTGTTGATTTCTGCCTTTTGCTCCGTTTCTTAAGCAACCCTTTATCCGCAAGTGTTTTACGTTTCAATTTCCTTCGGTCTTTAACCTTGTCTTCGAATCCATTATCTAGCATCCTCATCATTGCCACCCTTTTGGCTTTTGAGACCTGCAGATTCAGTTTTAGAAGTTTGGATCAGTAAAACACGACAGGATATCACTCAGCAGCCAATAACTGATCTTACTCTTCTTATATACCCAGATGAACTGGAACTTAGACACCATTGCGAAGCAGCTGGTATGACTCAGTATTTGATCAGATTGAGCCAAAGATAAAAGACGAGAACTTAGATATATTACACTGCTAATCTTACCTTTGTGACTTCTAAACTGTCAGTGATTATTTTGTTGTTGTACGGTTCCATCTTTTTTCCAACTTCCTCTTCTATTTTATGGATAAGTTTCACATCGGTCTGCAAAAGGATATGTAAGGGTTTGGTTGTAAGCCCAACCATGAACAACAAAACTTAAGGGTCGATGTTTCATGTGGTTCTGTGATTTACTACTTTACCTCAGTGATAATGCTTACAGCCAGTCCTCCTCTACCAGCTCTAGCTGTACGTCCAACACGATGAACATAATCCCTCGGATTTCTGATTTGAGCCAAATGTAGAATTAGAATATCAGTTAAACATGAAAAGCACAGTGAATTAAAGAAAAAGGAAAATATCAGCAAAAGGTACCTCGGAATGTCATAATTGATGACAAGGTCGACAGTAGGAATGTCCAATCCACGGCTGGCAACATCAGTCGCAAGCAATATCGGTATTTTCCCAGACTTGAATTTACTTAGTGCAGATAGTCGCATAGACTGAGAATTCAGAGAATGCATAGCTACATTTTCCACTTCAAGCTCGTCAAGCATAAGACTTAACCTTTGACATGTTCTAAAACACGCAACAATGTCTAGTCAGTAACTGCAAATGGAATCACCCGATGATAAATGTTTTTTTTTTAATAAAGCAGCTATGAATATGAGACCTGCAAGTGGAGACAAAAATCATGGCTGATCGAATGCCCTTATCTTCCATTTGCGACAGTATGTGCACAAGATATAGTTCTTTCGCATCTTTGTCTTCGAAAATGAACTGCTGCGTAAGAGTGTCAACAGTCTTTAACCCTTCATAGGCTTCATAGAAATAAGCTTTGTTTGAAGAATGTTCGAGCAATGTCTGTAAGTTACTAGTCATCGTAGCAGAGAACAACAATGTTTGTCTACTCTTTGGCAGACACTGAAAGATTGTCCGCAACTCGTCTTGGAAACCAACATCAAGAACTCTATCCGCCTCGTCCAGTACTAAGAACTAAGCAAGCAAACACAAAGTAAAGCTAAAAATCAGTTAAACGCAGCAACTTCAGATAGCTCTGAATTTGAGAATGTTCTTCTTTACCTTGGTTCTAGAGAAAACTGGAGGAACATCAGGATTGTTTTCAAGCAAAACCTTAATTCTCCCAGGAGTAGTAATAACGATATGAGGTCGTGAAACCAAGCTCCTCGTTTGCGTCAACATATCCATTCCTCCCACAATGACAGAGCAACGCAAATTCAAACACGAACCCAAAGCCTTAAACTGCTCAGCGAGCTGGAACGCTAGCTCTCTAGTCGGCGTCACTACAAGCGCGAAGACTCCATAAGGATCTTCAGCGAGGCGGTGAAGTATCGGTAGAGCAAACGCCGCCGTTTTACCACTACCAGTCTGAGCAAGCCCTAAAACGTCTCGCCCGGCCAATATCTTGGGCACGCAGTGAGTTTGAACTGGAGTGGGTTTACGCATCCCAAGCTCTTTACACGTTTCCACTGCCCACTCAGCTAATCCGAGCCCTTCGAAATTAGCGACGGGACTAGGGTTGGGATTTGTGAATTTCTCAAATTGAGGAGCATTCTGGTCGGAATCAAGTTTCTGAGACTGAATTTGTACTACGGTTTTAGGATTTTTGCGGGATTTCGCCATGATTGTGATTCCCCCTTCATCCTCCGATCTCGGTTCCTCCATTCTCTTTGAATCAGAAGAGAAAGAAAGTGAAGAAATTGATTCGGAGTTATCGCCGGAAAAATACGTTCGTTAGCCGCTGTTCTTAGATTGTTCTGGAGATGATGTATACACGCGTAAACTAGGGGAGTTCAAATCCGGTTTAGCCAAACCTAAATAATAAACCGGAAAATTAAACGAACCGAAGATTTAAGCTTTTTCTATCCCATTTTAATTTCGCGGTTTATTTAGAAGATTTGCTAACTTTGTTTGTACGATGTTTTGCCTATTTGAAGATTGTTGTTACTCTTTTGAAAGAACCAGTATGTAGTCATTTGTTAAATTTTCTACACAGTTAATCATTCATCGTACAAACAAAAAAAGGACACGGAAATTTAAAGACAAAAACAGAAACCGCAGAAAGGAAATCTTGTGATACAAACACACACGAAACCAAAGCTAAATTCTTTAATCTTCATCATATGTGTATTAATAAACGTTGTCTCATAGGATAATGCAGCTTCCTGAATCCCTGATGAGGAAACAGAGCCATCAAAACCAATCATAAGTCAGATTTGTTTTCTATCATAAAGTAAAATGAAATAGTTGCGGTTATGCACAATGATACCTCTTCGACACTTCATAGTAACTCAGAGCTTGCTCGAACTTGAGCCAGAGTGGACATGATGCCTCAAGATCGACGTGGTCAGGACCGTTGATATAAGCTTGGACAATGAATTGATTACTTCTCTGACTGCGTATCACATTGTTTGAATCAGATTGATTATGTTTTGACTAAGATCTTGATTGCAAAATCAGGATTTATAAGTAGAGAGTTGGAGTTGGAAGCATACCTTCCTTCATATTCCGATAACCAAACCAAATAGGCTACACCGAAGTACATAGAGACAAATGGTTTGGTCAAATCGTCTGCTGAATCGACTCTGTATGCACGGTATCCTAGCTCCCTTTATTCAGAAAAACAGCCCCATTTGGATTTGATATATGGTTTAAGACTTTATAATGCAAACTATAGAATAGAGAAACGAAGTTTGGTCACAAACTTACGAGTATAACCAGGAAGCGGTTGAGTAGTCCACTCCGAGTATACCTACATGTTTCTTAGTACCGTTCACAAACCGCATGCACACAGTATCAGCAATCGCACAAACAAGAGGCTGCATCAGTGATATGGAACATATTTATCAGAATAGCATATGAATAGACCCAAAAAGATGCCCAATATAAGTTTCCTCAGCAAGTGATAATTAACAGAAATGCACACTTACAACTCTAATTCCTTTCGTGCTGAAGTACTTCGAAACAATTATTTCTGCAACAGCCTGAAATAGAAAATATAGCATTACTTTGAAGGCAACATGGTGAGAACAATGTTGGTTATTTGTTCTGTAAAAGTGCTCAATTAAAAGACAGACAGTACCTTAAGTTCCCCTCGAGAAAGGTAAGGCCTCTTTTCACCATCTTGTGAAAAACGAACCTTTCCCCTTTCTTCTTTAGATTTTGTCCACTCTTTACATACTTCAGAATGATTCCACATATCTTCCATATCTTCAGGGGAAGCCCGAGAGTCCCAGTATGTGAAATTGGTGTCTGTTCAACCAGAGAGTATATTTCATATCAAAACTTAAAAGAGAATGATAGAGGTTCTCCAAATATGAGCATACAGCTAAAGCATTGGCACATTGCACCATGATATCCTAATATTTCTAGAGATCTTAATATGTTTGACATAGGTGCATGTGTATAAACGTAGAAACATTATTATTTGATACAGAACGATAAAAAAAGAGGGAGAGATTACTTGAGCCTGGTGAAGCGGGATTCGTAGGATGAAAGCTTGAAGGGCCAGCATCGACATGTTTTCTGCAACAACAATTACCAAAGAGTTTTAGCTTCGCTTCTCTCAGCTTCTTTATTATAACTATGAACAAAAATAACAATATGAAAGCATACGGTAACACAAAACCTTTTCCTTGAAACCAAGCATAAAATATGACAGCAGAAACTAGGTACAAAGAGCAATCAGAGAACAGAAACAACAACCTTGAAGGGAGACTTTCTTTCACTGCAAGGTATCGTTTCCAATATGGCAATGTCGACTTGTGAGTCGCCTTTTTTGTCCCACCATTATATGCTCTGACAACAAACTCTTCACTTCTCTGGCTGCACACGAAAAGTTAAAAATATTGAAGTAATTCCAGGAGGAATTTAGACTTGTCGTCATTGAAATTGTAAAGGTAGCAATGTCAGCTTAGGGACAATATATCATACTTATTCTGATAGTCTGTTAACCATTTCAGGTAAGCTGCCCCAAAATATACATTTATAAAGGGCTTGTGAAGAAGATCAGGATTGTCATCCACATTATATGCCTGATAGCCCTGGCCCCTGCAAGAAAGTTTGACCAAAACCGGAATATAAGATTTTATAAATCTAAGATCTTCTTGGAAAGGAGAGAAACTAGAAATCGTTTTGTACCCAGCCAACCACGCTGCTGTCTTTTCGAAAACTTGTAAAATTCCTAGGCCAGTTTCTTTGGTCTTTTTGTTGTACCTCATAATGAGAGGCTTGCGGTCACTTTCAAGCTCAGCAATTGCGCATATCATTTCCTGCAGAGGAAGAGGGAGATGCAAAACTTCAAGATCAGAAAGGGCATAGATGCATGATTTCAATAACCTAAAAGAGTAGCTAAAACCAAGCTCAAAAGTGTTAGTTTTCTAAAGAACTGCCCACTTTGAAAAATAATGCTCTGAGTAATTATTACAGACCAACAATCGAACATGAAACTATCAATGATGGGTGAAAATGAAGCATTACCAAATCCAAGATCGAATCAAAATGCCTCCGGACAGTAATATCAGCAACAGCCTGAGAAGGTAAGGGGTTGATCAATAAGTAGGCAGAAAGAAAGGTCTAACTAGGATTCACGAAAGCCACATCAATCTTGTATTGAAATGTTTGAAATCAAACGAAAACCATCCGCAATTTCTGTCAAACATACAAGGAACTTTATGTGATTACCCTCATCTCGGTCTGTGTAAGATAAGGCTGTCCATCAGGATCCCTTGAAAGGTGAACCTTCTGGCCTTTAGTCTCTCCAACATCAATCCATTCAGCACTGACCGCAGGATCCATCCACATTTCTTCTAAATCCTCTGGCTCAACACAATCATTCCAGAACGTGAAACTGTTGGCCATTCTTGCATTGCTATACGACCTTTCCATTGGCATCTATCACAAAGAAAAATAAAAAGAGAGAATTTACACGGAAGCAATTAGAGATTTCACAAGCACGACTAGCTAATGGAAAGAGAGCAATCTGATGGAAGAAACAAGAGAAAAGCAAGTGGAAATAGAAGACACATCGTTTACAACATCCATAAGTAACATGTTTGCCAAAGTTAAAGAAGAAAATCGAATTCTACACATCAAATACGAAGACGAATCAACCGATCCCGGAGAAGTCATTCAGAAAATCAATCGGAAAACTAGGTAGTAGCATGTCAACATTGCTCAAACAAACTAAAACAAAGAGAAATTTCGTGTGTATGAGAGACCTTGCCGAAGGCAAAAAGCGCGAAGGACGAGAGGAGCAGAGGAACAAGGTTTCTCGGCGAATCAGAGAGAAGAAGAAGATGAAGATTCAAATTAATCTCTGGGAAATTCTAGAGATACAGAGAAACCGACGGTTCGCCATTTTTGACGGGAGAGCCAGAAAAGCAAATTAATCACACAGAGGGGACTGTGAGACGAGCCAGCTGCAGGAACAGCGAAGAAAATGCCACGTGGCGTATCGGAGCTGGCTCAGCCTCGTCGTCGTTTTAACAGTACAGTAGCCATTTTTGGAGGGAGAGCCAGCTGGACTTGCCACCTGTCAAACTAGATCAGGCCCATTTTATTTTGACGTGGCAAAACTTTACGTAACTCAATAAACGACAAAAGATACGTCAACGTTGTTCAAATATGACCGAAGGCCCACCAAATCATGGGCCTTGACGCTGATCCCGTACACGCGGCTTTGTAGTTTTCCTCCGAGAAATCTCAACCGTTAGATCTCATCGCAAAAGTAGGCTGCGACGCATCGGAACACAGTCATCGTCTTTGCAGAGTCGTAAGCATGAAAATATTCTTCAAAAATGAACTAAACAGTGTGCAGTTGCAATTTGCAATTTGCAATTTTTAACTCAACAGAACATTTTCTTGGCTCCACAGCTACACTCAAAAGCCATTCAGCGGAAGGTTTTTGGCGGCGAGATCTCTCTGTATCTGGTAGCTTAGCTATGGCCTTCTCTTCTCTCCTCAGATCCGCCGCCACTTCCGCCGCAGCTCCTCGTTTCCAGCTTTATCCATCGTCATCGTACGATCATTCTCAGGTATTAAACGTTTTCGTTTTCTCTCTCTTGGGTTTAGCTTTGAATTTTGATCTGCTTCGCTTTTGTATGTCCGTGTCGCCTGGAGTTTTAGTAGATAGTAAGGAGGTGATGTCTTGTTTTTGGTTCTGGTTTCAATTTCTCAGTGTAAAGTCAACTCGTTGTTTTCTATTTTATCGCTATCTTCTCTACTTGCGTCCTCACTTGTCGTTGAAATATTGAATTCCTAGTCGTTTGCCCTGAGTTATTATTTGATTGAGAAGCTGAATCGATGATAGGAAGCATTAAAGTTTCAGTGGGTTTATTATATCTTTTGTCTCATATGATCAGGTCACGTCAAGTCTTGGATTCACTCACAACCTGGCCTCGTCTAGATTTTCTGGTGCTGCAGTTTCAACTGGGTCATCTTCAACTTTACAGTTCTGTGACAAACTCTGTAGTACATGTAAATTTCTTACGATGCTTGCCTTGGTTCCTAACGATGTTTTATGTTCTAATGTACAGAAAATGCAATGCGAAGAGCGTTCAACCCATCAAGGCCACAGCTACAGAAGCACCTCCTATTGTTCATAGTAAGTAAAAAAAATTAATTGATATTCTTACCTGTGTTTGTTGCTGCACTCTTACAGCTAACTTTGATTTGGTTGACTTGTATAGGGTCAAGGAGCAGTGGAAAGACAAAGGTTGGGATCAACGGTATGTTTTTTTTCTTTCCATTGTTGGATTCATTGTGAAATTCAACATCATAAGATAGTCTCTATGCCTTCATTCCTTCTGACATGCTTCTAGTTCTCTACATTTTCATTTCTTATTGATGGTTGTATTTTTATGTGCGGGACAGGTTTTGGTCGAATTGGAAGGTTGGTCCTCCGCATCGCTACCTTTAGGGATGATATTGAGGTTGTAGCAGTCAACGATCCATTCATAGACGCCAAGTACATGGTAAGGATGATGACTATCTTATCCAGTAGTAGATGCAACTTACAATGCCATTTTGCTCTTACTATTTTTAAGTCTATTTTTAGCCAGGAATTTCTATAACTGTTTCTTATGCTCTCTTCCCATTTAGTTTCCCTTACTCATAGTAACTGTTCCGCGTGCTTGAACCCATATAGTAATCGTATTAAGAGGCATGGATATATCAAACTAAAAGCAATTCTTCTCTCCCCTCTTCTGCAGGCTTACATGTTCAAGTATGATTCTACTCATGGAAATTACAAAGGAACCATCAATGTAATTGATGATTCTACTTTGGAGATCAATGGAAAACAGGTCAAAGTTGTCAGCAAGAGGTATTGCCTCAAAATGTTGACTCATGTGTATCCGTCTAGTATTGTCAAATTAGGAATCAATATCCATGATTTTCCTATTGGTAGGGTATAAAGCTTATCCTTTTAGAGTCTGACATCTTATTGATTCTTCCTCAGAGACCCAGCTGAAATCCCGTGGGCTGATCTTGGAGCTGAGTATGTTGTTGAGTCTTCGGGGGTATTCACCACCGTTGGACAAGCTTCATCACATTTGAAGGTTTGCACTTTCACCTGAACACACTTGTTGATCTACTAGTTCCATTGATGTTAACATTTAATAGCAGGCCTTATATTTTTAATTCAAACAATCATCTGCTAAAATGGTCTATGGTTTTCTTGACCTTTCATTGTCTCTGCAGGGTGGCGCCAAGAAAGTCATCATTTCTGCACCTTCAGCGGACGCGCCCATGTTCGTTGTTGGAGTAAATGAGAAGACATACCAACCTAACATGGATATAGTCTCCAATGCAAGCTGTACCACCAATTGTCTTGCACCTCTTGCCAAGGTTTGTAACATTGCATTTTTGTCCTATATATAGCTTGTTATGTAGAACTTCATTAAGGTCAAATAAAATTGTCTATGGCCCTTAACCACTTGTATCTGGTAGGTGGTGCATGAGGAATTTGGAATTCTTGAAGGCTTGATGACAACAGTCCACGCGACCACAGGTCTTTGATTCTTGTGCCCTCTTGTTATATGTCACTGTAAATCACTGAACTGACGAGACTAAATGATGTGTTTTGTTTATCTTCGCATTTGAATATTCAGCTACTCAGAAAACTGTGGACGGCCCATCAATGAAGGACTGGAGAGGAGGCAGAGGCGCTAGTCAAAACATCATTCCTAGCTCAACCGGCGCTGCAAAGGTACGCAAAATCATACAGTTATATACAAAGCATCGCATCTGGAATCATATTTAAGCCATGCCTTTTTTTTCTTGTCTAAATAGGCTGTTGGTAAGTTCCTTCCGGAACTCAATGGAAAACTAACGGGAATGGCCTTCCGTGTCCCAACACCAAATGTTTCTGTTGTGGATTTAACTTGTCGACTTGAGAAGGATGCATCTTATGAAGACGTTAAGGCAGCCATAAAGTATTACTCTCAAAACTCTGTTCAACTAATTTCCCGTAACATTCTCTATATATGAATAAAACATGGAACTTGTAATAACCTCTCATGAATTTGATTTAAAATCTCTAACAGGTTTGCATCAGAAGGACCACTTAGGGGCATTCTTGGATATACAGAAGAAGATGTCGTCTCTAATGATTTTCTTGGAGATTCAAGGTATGTCACTCTTAAATCTTGTAGCGGATCATTTAAAATCTAGTGTTGGTTCTCAAATGTTGTGGTCATTGTCAAAAAATTTCAGGTCAAGTATCTTTGATGCTAATGCTGGGATTGGATTAAGCAAGTCCTTCATGAAACTTGTCTCCTGGTATGACAACGAATGGGGTTACAGGTAACAGTTACTCTCTCTCGGTTCTTTACCATCACATTGCCATTTGACAATACCCAAATACTAAAATATGTGTGGGTCTTGTAATGTCACAGTAACCGAGTCCTTGACCTGATAGAGCACATGGCGTTAGTTGCAGCCAGCTGCTAAACCATGCCGCTTTCTTGCAGAAGCCAATGCAAATTTTTTGTTATACTAACTACTAAGAAATATTGTTCGTTACTTCGAGAGAAAGATGTTCCTTAAAAAAAAAAAATAGCTAAGTAAAAAGATTGGTTTTCAAAGATTGGAATTTTCCGGTTAGCTTCAATAACTCATCTCTACGTTATGAATTATTCGAAATTGTGACAGTGAACCATCCATGACCATGACTCCATGATGGTTAGCAAAGTGTCATTAAGGACTTACGACAATTATCATGTAAGCGAGGTTATTGGTTAACTTTGCACAACGTAATATATGATGAAATAGTGACGTGACATCCACTTTTAGGCAAAATTATCTGATACTCCGATATAGGAATTTGTTAATTAATAACACGATGCAACATATCTAAAAAAAAAACCACTCAGAGAAAATGCTCGTATAAAGAGGAAAAGTGTGAGTAAACAAAAGGCACAAGGGGACAAAAGCATTTTTGCAATCGTGGGAAACCACTTTGATCTAAACAAATGTGGACGTATTATTTAATCATTCCTTATCATAATCCAAAATGTTAATAAAAACATATCTTGATATAACGTGGCCGTATAGAAAACCTTTTAAGATGAAGGAAAGAGTAATGTAAAAGAATTGGTATACATACTCCTTGTGATTTTAGACCACGCCTTTTTGCATCACTAGTGAGTAATGACCACCTACTTCGCCAACTCAACAACATATACGAATACTTATTTAAATGGTTTTTTCCGATTATGTGCACATTTTTAAAAACAGAAGACAAATGTATTTCGTGTACCTATCTTGAATAAATACCATGTTCCTTAACAAATTTAAAAATGAAAATATCATACATGGTATTATACCCATTCAACACAGCTAAATTTTCTAACTAAAGTATGTGATTATAATATTGACTAAGAGGGGTTATAACTTTCCGGCGTTTTTGTTAGTAAATGTTAACAAGATTATTTCTTCCTTGTAAAAAAGGAATGAATTATTCAAAATAAAATATTTTTGCATTTGACATTTTTGTTTTCCAAGAGTTTTGTGTGTGACTCATATGCGGCTTAACTCCTCCTATATTTTCTTCAAACAAGCAACATTGTTTTTGTTTCTCTCTCTCTTTCTCTTTCTCACAACTTCCCTAGAAACACTTTTTTCGGAATTCGAACGCAGAGAGATCGGATAATGGCGACGGAGCATATAGTCCGTACGAAAGACGAATACAATGTCGAGCTTTTACCTAGTGACGACGATGCGCCGCCGCTTCAATCGTCTTGGCGTCTCAACCTCGAAGCTTTTCAACTTCCTTCTTCACCACCTTCCTCCATCGGTGGCCGTCACGACGCTCGTACTCGCTTTTCTCGCTATTTCCGTACTCCCAGTAAGACTCCTTCCATCATGTTTTCGTTTTTTTTTTTTTTTTTTTTGTGATCTGTGCTCAATCCGTAAAGTGTCGATGTCTATAGACGTGTACGTAACATGATCATCGACCATGCCTTTTGAATTGTGTACGAAAACAGAGAAAAAGTGATTATGCAAATGTGTAATTGTTGAAACTTGTTCGGAAAAATAAAGTTTCGAAATTAACCGAAATCGCTTCAAGTATAAATTAAGAGTAAATGATACTCTCTGTTTAAAACCCTTTCTATTGATTTGATTCAAGCGAGTATTTAACTTTTTTCTTTTTGTTGATTCAAAGTTATTAAGCTTTTGATGGAATCTTAAGCTTCTCTTTTAGAATTTGTATATGCCAGATTCTCTGTTTTAAAATTATGTGGATACTGAATGATTACTGAATCAGATTAACCTCAGATGTTTTAAGGCGTTTTAGAGTGATTGAGAAACTGGTAAACCCATCAAGGTCGACTAACACATTGTTAAATCTTGAAAAAGGGTTTTAACTTTGAACCCTCCTCTCTGCTGTCTTAATGCAGGAAAGGAACGTAGAGTCTCTGAATACTACAAGAAGCAAGAGAGGCTCCTCGAGGGTTTCAATGAGATGGAGACTATCCACGAAACTGGTTTTGCATCTGGTGTTCCAACTGAGGTCTGCCCTCTACTATTTTTCTTATGGTATGTCTCTTTGAGATGAATCCTCAATCTTTCTTGGTTTCAACAGGAAGAAATGAAGAAGCTTGCAAAGAGTGAGAGGCTGGCAGTTCACATATCGAACGCAACAAATTTGGTGCTTTTTGTGGCAAAAGTTTATGCCTCTATGGAAAGTAGATCCATGGCTGTGATTGCTTCAACTTTGGACTCTCTCTTGGATCTCTTGTCTGGTTTTATTCTCTGGTTTACAGCTAATGCCATGAGAAAACCAAACCAGTTTCACTATCCTATCGGAAAGCGCCGGATGCAACCTGTGGTATGTTTCTTTTGTTTTTATCTATTAACCCCTTTGTTTGGTTTTTGTTCTGATTCCTCTCTGATCAGTTTCTTCTACGAACTTACTTGTCTCCCAAGAAAATAGAACTGATAATGTAAATTTACAGGGCATCATTGTGTTTGCTTCGGTGATGGCAACTCTTGGACTGCAAGTTTTACTAGAGTCAGGAAGGCAACTAGTTGCCAAGGTACATTACTTTTTTTCAGGTAACTGCTTTCATCGGTTATTTGATGTATGTAACCAATTCTGTTTTTGTTACAGAGTGGTATTCATATGAATAGCACAGAGGAGAAATGGATGATCGGGATCATGGTCTCTGTCACCATTGTGAAGTTTCTTCTAATGCTATATTGCAGAGGATTTCAGAACGAAATCGTTAGGGCCTATGCTCAGGATCACCTCTTTGACGTTGTCACTAATTCAATCGGCTTAGCAACAGCTGTCTTGGCCGTCAAATTCTACTGGTGGATTGATCCCTCCGGTGCTATACTTGTAAGTAACTCAGGAATCTAAAATGATCAAGAAATGTCTCATGGGATTTGACAAACGTTTTTTTTTTTTTTTTGTCTTTTTAATGGTTGCAGATTGCTTTGTACACCATAGCAACATGGGCAAGAACGGTACTAGAGAACGTCCATTCGCTGATCGGACGCTCTGCGCCGCCAGAGTTCTTGGCGAAACTGACATTCTTGATATGGAACCATCACGAACAAATCAAGCATATTGACACAGTAAGGGCTTACACTTTTGGGTCACACTACTTTGTGGAAGTAGACATTGTTTTGCCAGAGGACATGAGACTACAAGAGGCTCACAACATCGGAGAGACTCTTCAGGAGAAGCTCGAGCAGCTTGCTGAAGTAGAACGAGCTTTTGTCCACATAGACTTTGAGTTCACTCATCGTCCTGAACACAAGTGTAACTAGATTTTTAAGTAAATCTTGTAGGGTATAATTAGTTCTTTAGTTTATGTATTCTTCGTGTCGTTTTATCTATACATATACAGTAGTAGATGGAAATCGAAATGTGTCGTTGAACGTTGTGCCGTCTCTGTTTATGGAATGCGCATTGTGTGTCGTTTGAAGCTAATTGACGACATTAATATCGTTTCATTCACCTGTGTGTCGTTTGAAGCTAAACTCAAAATAAAGATAAAATCATAAAAAAATAATGGGTTTTAAATTAAAACCACTCAAAACTAAAAGTTGGTTTATCTATCTTCCGACAAAGTTCCGTGCTTGATTGCTCTTACTCCACGAGACAATTTCTCTGGCTCAGAATCGTCGCCATGAAAATGTAAGAAGAAACAAAGACGAGCTCTCAAATCCAGCAGCCATGGCTTTTCTTCTTCCTAATCTATCGTCTCCCTCAATCCATCTTCAGACCGGAAAATACCCAAACCATAAACCCATTTTCAGTCAATCTCTATCGTCGTCGTCGTCTTCTGTTAGCTACGAATTCGTGGAAGATAATATATCGACACACTCTCTTTTGAGCATCCAGTCTCCTCCTCTTAAAGACACGCAGGTTCAGACAAGACACAGTTCGCAAGATAAGCATAATAACCACGACAGAGATGAATTCTATATCAATCTTGGTGTCGCTGTCCGTACGCTTCGCGAAGATTTGCCTTTGCTCTTCACTAGAGATCTTAATTACGACATCTACAGGTAAATTTCCTCATTTGGGTATTTGATAATTGAATGATAATGGGTGAAAGGAAGAATCTTTGGATGCTATCTTCAGAATTTTATCATTTGATTGTGAATGTTTCTCCGAGAATTCAATTCAGAATCTTTGTTTGTTTGACAGGGATGATATAACATTTGTGGATCCGATGAACACATTCAGTGGGATTGACAACTACAAATTGATCTTCTGGGCGCTCAGATTTCATGGGAAGATATTGTTCAGGGATATCTCACTTGAGATCTTCAGGGTATGGCAACCATCAGAGAACATGATTCTCATCAGGTGGAATCTCAAGGGTGTGCCTAGAGTTCCATGGGAAGCTAAAGGAGAGTTTCAAGGCACTTCTCGGTATAAACTCGACCGTAATGGCAAAATCTATGAGCATAAAGTCGATAACTTGGCCTTCAATTTCCCTCAACAGCTCAAACCCGCAGCTTCGGTTTTGGATTTGGTGACTGCTTCTCCTGCAAGTAGTCCCAATCCAACGTTCTTTTTCAGTCCTGTGGACTCTTATTCATCTTCATGGATTAGGTTTTATCAAGTGGTGAGAGGGACATTGGAGACAGAGGATATCTTTGTGACAGACAGTTTACTCACATGCACATAGTGGAAGTAGAGTTGTTATACACATACTCAAGGTCACACTTCTCAGGTGTATATAGTTTTACATTGAAGGTTTTATATATATGAGTAGATCTGGTTGATTTAATTCTTGGGAAACCTAGAACTGTTATGTTGTTCCAAAAGCTTTATACAACGTAATCAATACAATGGAGTTTTGTCTTTATGATTATGTGAAACAGTAATATTACTCAGTGGTTAAACTCACAGAAACAAAACAACACACCTAATTAAGAATCACCATTAGCCTGAGTTTTCTTAATATCCGGCTAGAGTCCATGTAGATGCTGTATCTCCCTGCAATTTCCAAGTAAGAATGAACAAGATCAGTTAAATAGAGAAAGCGAACAGAAAACAAGTTTCCAGCTACATGAACATATGTATAGATATACACCTTTAGACTGGTGAGGCATGCCAGGACTTTTGTAGAGTTCAACTTAGAGAGGGAGTTTATCCAAGGGTTTCAAGACTGCGACATTACTGTGATCTGGATTCATGTACTTCTCATAAGTGACCCTCAGTTTTCCTGTTTTAGCAGCTTTGTGAAACCTTAAGACCATGTCAGAACAATCCCTGTGATAAGAAAATTGTGTACGATTAGTTACAGAATCTAATTAGTCTAAGTGATCTACAAGGTGGAGTTATTAATGAGACTGTTACTTCATCTGGGAGACATTGTAGTGGGTATGGTTGTTTAGGAGCGAGGTCCAAACTGGAGTCATATGCAAAGTGCATCGGGCAACATATATGGCTGATGCACATAGCAATGATGGCTTATACTTCAAAGCTTCGTACTCCACCAAGCACAACTCGATAAGGTAGAAGGCGAGTTGTTCAAGCTGAAAAAATTAATAATAGTATTCAATGACTACCTATTCAAGCAGGTTAATTTTATAGGATATAAAGCATTCAGATGCAAGTTTTTCGCGTACCTTCTTATTTGATTGAGCAGCTTTGAGGAACCTCAACATGAAAACATAGGGGGTGGGTGCATTCAAACGGAACTTTAACTGTTTAAGCATAATCCTCTCCTGAAAAGAAAAAAAGAAGATAAATTACAAGGGTAAATATGCAAACGACCAGAGATTGTTAAAAAGAATAAAGAAGTTGACTATAAACAGAGTTCGTTATATACCATTCCCAAGATTTGTTCTCTGCTGTATGATTCTGCGGATATGCTAATCAAGTCTTTGATCTGTACATGGACAAAGAAAATAGATTCTAAAAGTTTAAGGGTGACGCTATATGGAGCTAAGCAGAGGTATTAGCTTTCAGGATAATTGTCTCTTACCCTAGGATGCCAATAGTCCTCATATTTAGATGCCAATAAGAGTGCAGTAAGACCAATCAATTGCATCTCATTTTTATGTATTGGAACTTGGGAGAGGTAACGGTCTAATAAGTCCATTGTCAGGTAGAGAGTCTCATGCATTAGATCAAATTTGAAATGAACCTGCAAACAAATAAGTAAAACCGAGATATAGGTTTCCACATGGAGAAGCAAAACTTTGAGTAGGGAAATATCAAGTTGAAATGGAAACAAAAAATTTACTGCACTCACTTCGATAAGCCAGTTGATCAAAATTCCACGCGTAACTGGACTGACTTCTGCATGAGCTGACAAGTAGTATCCCAAAGCTGGATTTAACGCCTGCAACAATATTTCACACTAAGCTATTGGAAAGCTAAAATTCAATATTCAAAGCTATAAGGAAAAAGAAAAAATGAATATAAGGGAAAGTGAAGTTGTATGTATGTGGAATAATAAGTGGAATACCTCTGCAGTCCAATAGAACTGATATATGTCATCCACATATTCTGCAACTTCCAACTGATTGGATTCATCATCAATGTTTGGAAGTTTCTCTGCCTCTGTGGTTTCACCATTTTTCTCATCCAACTGCAAGTAAATTACCAAATTAGTAATATTGGAGAAAAAGAAGTCACAAGAAACACAACAAATCATAAAATTACGAACCTTTGATCCATTTACTAGTAGAGATGTGAAAGACTTTCTACGCTTTGATTTTGGCTTCGCTGCAACATCCAACACTTTTGTTGTTGGGTCTTTGTTTCTACTAGATGAACTCTCTCCTTGAGTGTCTTCTTCGAGACATTTTGTTTCAACCTTTTTCGGAAGTGACAGCGTTAAGGCAACTATTTCAGAAGAAGGGATTGAAGAAATAGATCTTGATTTACTTCTACCCACTGGGGGCTTCTTAAGAGAACTACGGTTTTGTAGCGACGTCTTTACAGTTGTCTGGATCTTGAATAAGAGAGAAAGCTTATCACATATTTAATAAACAAAAAACCTCAATGTGACTGTAACTATTGCCAGATGAAATGAACTGATTTAGCAGTTCAATGATGATAATAGCCAAGGCCAAAACATTTTTGAGAGACTTCAAATAGTGTGGCTATAATGGAAATAAACCACTTGCATGCAAAGATACGAAACTAAAGGTATATACCTTGATAGATTTCCTTACGATACGGACGTTATTCTTACTCTGTCTGTTGCGGTCCCTGAACATGCAAAGAAAATAAACTTCGCAAGTTATATCTCAAGTTGCTGCCCACAAACGATAAAAGAAAAAATAATCTGGTTCTCGAAGATGTAAAAAAGTCGTACATTGAATCATTGATAATGAAAATGCAAACAAGGATTCTATGAATTTAGACAATTTGATAGTTGGAAGAAGACATGTGTGATGTGCAAGAGAGAAACAACTTCATTTCTTTAATGATGATATCAGAATTAAGCACATTTACTTACGATGGTATAGAGCCGACGCTTGTCCGAGTTTTCAAAGTATAGGTTCCGGCACTCCTCAGCTGTGGGACAGCTTTATTGCTGACTTTACTAGCTGAAACAATGCAACCTCACTCATATTAGATACTGAACCAATCAAATTAAAATTTTAAACATACATATTTCCATCAGAAGTTTAGAAAAGAAATCCATGTTACCTAGACCCTGACCCAATTGTTTTGAATTTAAGCTTGAGACATTGAACTGCGTCAAAATAGTAAAAATCAGGGTAAAAAACAGTGAGTAGAGAAATACACAATTAAGTAAACTATCCTAAATGATTAGCGTCACGAGTTGTTGTAAAACCAGCTAACTATAAGACAAAAACATCTCAAATTAGATTGATAACAACCTTTTTTAAGCTCTTATCAGTGAGGCTTGTTCTCTTTAAAGTTGGTAAGGAATTTCTGCAAGAACAAATCAATCAAGGAAGTTAATCAATGAATGATGTAAAATCATTCTCAGCAGATACTAACGTAGGTTACGTGATGAGAGCTTTGACATATTGATAGGGAATGTAGGGCATAAACAAAATATCTATTTTTGTTTTTTTTTGGAAAATTCTTCAAACTGGTCAGGAAGCTGATAATCAATCTATTATGCATGAGATTAGCACAAAGGTACCTTGTTCCACCAGCCGTTGATCCAAGGCTCAGGGTTTTGTTTATGATGAATTTCTGACCTAAAATATGATTTAAAACTTCCGAATTTTAGATAAACGGTAAAGATCAACTAAAGCCATAGACATGAAAACAAACATAACATTTAGGAAGTCACCTGTCTTGCAAGGGTTATTGTTTTCAAGTTCGGTTGTTCTTTTACTCTCAAGCTCCTATATCAGAAGAAAAATAAAACAATAATCAAGGCTTGCGAGAAAGAAGAAGGAAATGGCCATCGAGTTGTTTAACTAATTAAAATCCCATGCTTTAAGACACATACAACGTTTGTGATATTTGCTGTAACTCACATGCAGACAGATAAATTGTG